TGCAAAAAAAAATCATTACGTGAAAACGTCATCATATGACGTCACAATCATAAATGTTTGTGACGTATTCGAAGGTCACATAACTTGACGGCATCATATAGCATCTTCGCTTGGTCGAAACGGGCCGATCATGAGGGCAGGTAATAACCAGCAGAGGGGCAAAAAGCTCGCTTTGTCTCGAATACTTGAGCCACTAAGAAAACCACTTTTGCCGCAGAAATATCCAGGAGGAAACATTCAGCGCATTGAATCGGAAGAAAACGAGGATAGTTCTTGCCTTTCAGTCGTCTCGGGTGAATCCACAAGTAGACCGGCGAGTTTTTTTTTTTTTTTACTAATGAGAAATGAAAAAAAAATAATCTGATTTCTTTCTGTCAGATATGCAGTTGTACACCGCAGAATTATATACTGAGGTATGCAAGTGATGAGGTTGCAATAGCTTGAAAGAAGATAAAACGCGAATGCTATAAAATTCGAAAGCATGTATCAAACCGGTAGCACGGCCTGACAAAGCCCGGGGAAAACAGCGCGCCGATATATTCGCGGTTTTTTTCACCCCCCCCCCCCCCCCCCCGCGCCCGGAAAAGTCGGCAAGAAGCACGAATTCGAATTAACTCGCATGAAAACGCGAATTCGTGAGCTTCCTAATACGAGCGGCCATTCAGCACCAGCATCTCGTGGATGGATGGATGGGTGTATCCGGCTGTGCCCTTTAGATCGGGCGGTGGCTCACGCCACCTAGCCATAAAGTTAAGTACTATCACTGTGTTTTAGGATTGAATTTCGCTCGCGCCTCTATTGTAGCCACCAATCAGTTAGCCTCCTCGTGGTTATTTCTACCCGTTTAAAGTCTATTTTGCCTTCACTGTCCCTAAAACCCAATGCTTTGAAAAAATCGGCGCCATTATCTTCGAAAATAGGGTGGAGCCCTTTACAGAACATTATCAAATGTTCAGCCCGTTTCTTCCTCCTCTCCACACGCACTACATACCGTGTCTGTGCCTTCGTATTTTGCTCGGTACGTCTTGGTCCGCAATACCCCCGTTCTAGCCTCGAAGAGCAGAGAACTACCCCGAGAATCATCGTAGGTATTTTCTCTTGCAATTTCCTGCTTAAAAGTTCGGTAGGTCTCCAGTGATGATTTCGTAAGCATTCCCATCTTCCACATGTCACTCTGTTTCCTTCACCTTCTTCTTAATCGATGTTTCCGTTAGGCTTCGTATTCTGCTGTTGTCTAAATACTTGCTTGACAATTTTCGAGTTCGTTTCCTCCACTTAGTATCGACATTCTTCATGTACAAGTAACTGAAAACTTTCTTAGCCCAACGCTCCTCTCCTATTTTTTTCAATCGCTCCTCAAATTCCATCTTCCTGCTAGCTTCCCTGCTCTCAAACGATGTCCATCCCATGTCTCCCCGTACCGCATGATTTGGGGTATTGTCGTGTGCTCCCAAAGTAAGTCTACCTATGCCACGTTGTTTAATTTCAATTCTTGCTTGAACTTCTGATTTCATGCACAAGTCCGCATTGCCGAACGTCAAACCCGGGTCTATGACATTTACAAATCTCTCTCACGTCATACCTATTGTAGTTCCACAGTGCTCTATTTTTCATTGCAGCTGCATTCCTGGTACTCTAAGTGATCACGATGATTGATATGTGGGGTTTGACGTCCCAAAACCACCATATAATTATGAGAGACGCCGTAGCGGAGGGCTCCGGAAGTTTCGACCACCTGGGGTTCTTTAACGTGCCCCCAAATCTGAGCACACGGGCCTACAACATTTCCGCCTCCATTGGAAATGCAGCCGCCGCAGCCGGGATTCGATCCCGCGACCTGCGGGTCAGCAGCCGAGTACCTTAGCCGCTAGACCACCATGGCAGGGCCCCTTAGTCATTGCTTATCTTTCATGCTCCCTTAGATACTCAGCCCCGTTATTTATCCATACGCCCAAATATTTGTATTTATCCACTATTTCTAGCGTGATTTCCTGTATCTTATGCTCACTGCCTTTGTTATTATTAAAACTCATGACTGCCAATTTTTCCCTGCTGAATTTCAAATTTAACCCATCTTCCCTCATTACCACAAATGTCTATCAATCCCTGCAGATCTTCCTTGTTGTCGGCTATTAATACTATTTAATCTGCATACATCGTTGCTGGTAATGACTGTTCAATGTATTTTCCTTGCTTGGCAAAAGAGAGGCTGAATCCGAGTCGACTCTCCTCTAATTTGGCTTCTAGTCCCTGGCGATACAGCATAAATAACAAAGGTGACAAGGGACATCCCTGTCGAAGCCCACGTTGTATCTATAGGTTCAGATACCTGTCCTTCCCGTTTGATAACTACCTTGTTACCTTTATAGATATCCTTTAAAAGATTAGTTATTCCATCTTCGACACCTAGTGTGTTCAGCATTCCACACAAGTCTTCTTGAATCACACTATCGTAAGCTCCCTTGATATCTAGAAATGCCAGCCACAGGGGCCAGTGTTCTTTTTTCGCTAATTAAATACAGTGCATCAATGAAAACAGATTGTCCTCCAACCTTCTTCGTTTATGGAACCCATTTTGTAGTTCTCCCAGTACCCCCTCATTCTCCAACCATGTCTGTAGTCTTTACTATCTGCATCACCAGCCTGTAAGCTACTGATGTCACTGTTATAGGACAGTAGTTGTTTATATCGGCTTTGTCCCCCTTTCCTTTACAGATCATGCCCATTCTGCTTAGTTTCCATCCCTCGGGGGCTTCACCAACCATTATTGCTTTGCTCGCTGCCTCTCTTAATGTTTGCCTATAGTTTGGTCCTAATTAATTTATTAGCATGATTAGGATGCCGTCAGGGTCTGTTGATGTGCTATTAGGAACTCTTTTCTCTGCCCTTTCCCACTCTCGTTTTCCCAGTGGAGCCACTGAGCTAATTGGTCCATCCTCATCTGGTACGGTGCATGCAGCACTTTCTTGGTGTTTAACTTCTGTCATCAATGTTTTATATATTCCACTGCCTCATCGCCTTCTAGTCTGACCCCTTGAACTGTAGTTATAAGCCTCCGTTTCATGCGTGTCTTATTACTCAGAGAATTGAGACGGTTCCAAAACTTTGCAGCTGCCTTTCTATCCTTTTTGTTTACTTCTGCCATCCATTGAGCCCCCTTTCTTTTAATCTTTTCACTGATCAAATCGGACGCTTCCCTTCTGCAATTCAAAAAGTTATCCCATTTTTTTACATAATCTCCCGGTTCACCCCTCTGTTTAGCATACCTGTGTTCCGTGGAGGTATCCCGACGTCTATGGCTCCCTTAACTTCCTCATCCCACCAGCTCTTCGGTTTGTGTCTGCTTTTCCCGGTTGATTTGACTCGTACCTTAGCAAGCTCTAACTCAAACAATCGAGTTAGATTTGTGTACGCCCACTCTGCTTTAGTATCCTCGGTGATTATTTTGTCAATCTCTTTAGTTGATATTTCTATTTGCCTTTCTGAAGAAATATTACCGTGTGGTTGCTCGTAATGACGCCTTTCCAATTTCATTTCTCTTCCAAAACTCAGCTTGATACGTTTGTGATCCCTACCCAAGCTTCTGGACCCATATTCATCTATGTTCATCACCCTTAGCCGATCGTACATCCTATGTGACAATATTGCGTAATCAATCGTCGACTTCAGCCTTCCCATCTCCCATGTTATCTGCGGTAGGACAGGCTATGTCCACTGCGGTGGGACAGGCTCGCTGATGCTCCAGAACGAAAAGTTCAAAATAAAAGTAACATATGACACACGTGTTTGGCTCTCAGCGTTAACGCTGCATACCGAAGAAACGTAGAATGTCCCTTTTATATTGTCTCGAAACTGTGTTAGTACTGTTCTGATGTAGGACCATTGTCTTTGCATGTAGCAACAGAAGCGTTGCGCTGGTAAGCACGTGAATGAAGGTCCAATTCGCGGAATGAAGGAAGCTAAAAGCTGGTAAGGAACGTTTCACAATGCGGCTGACAGAAAAGAAGAAAAAAAATTGTAATATAGACACGCACACCACTGAGCTTCACCTGCTCCATTTCCCAGATATAAGAAGTGCTACAGAGTTTTACCACGGAACTCTAAGCTTGAGGTTGAGGCGGGCAGAGCGAATGGTTGTTGGAGCTTAGTATGTAGCCCTGAACAACAACGAAAGCTATTATCCTCGTCGTCGGCTCCTCACTTTCTAGCACGTTGCTCGGCCGGCGCACTCTCTCCTCGTCTTTAACTACTCGAGACTAATTAAGACTGCTAATTAACATGCCTAAAATTAGGATTATGCTAATTATTAGCATGTCAATTAAGACGAAAGCTAAGCGGAAATATTGTAATTAAGAAAACGCTAATTAATGGTTTAATTCGCATAGACACGACGACACGTGGCTAATCATAGTTCTATCCTCCACATAGCCAAGCACCGCTACGCTTGGGCAAATCCACCAATGACTAACCCCCGTATTCAGAATCGCTACTTTACTTGAACTTGACTTCAAACCGCCTCCAATGCAGCGCGTTCACAACGCGTCTGTGCTGCCTTAGCACGGAATAAAGACAGAGTATTCGAAACGCGTTTGAGCTGCATTGAAGTCGGTGGCAAGTCAAGATCAAGTCAGGCAGCGTTTCTGAATACTTTGTCACCCACTTCGTTAGTGTTTTCGGGGTTCTCGACGTCAGGTATACGTTCATTTAGAGTCGCAATTTGAAAATATTTTGAAACCCTTGTCAGTATGCCTTTAATAACCAGGCAGCGAGGAAATGAAGTGCCCCTAAAGACAAGGGACTGTGCTCAATAAACGATCAGATTGCTGTAATCGAAATGTAAGTCGAGCTTGTAGAAGCCGACACAAGCTTGGTCGGCCACAAGTTCCACTGTTAGTCCCCGTTTTGCACCACTAGTGGAAGCTGCTTAAACTTTTCTTTGGTTAACCTCTTTGTCTTCTTTTTTTTTCCTTCTCCCTCTCTCACACACGCACACAACGTACCGCCTTCCACGATGCAGTAGAGCGAGAACTCGTCCATCTCGGTGCTTCCCCGCACGCCCAGAATGCCGCAGATCTCGTCGATGATGTCTTCCACAACCGTGGTCGACTTGGTGTTGATCACTCTCTCGGTGCCTCCGGGCAGCCGGTAGATCTGCCGCTTGGAATTGCGACCAGCCTGACAAAAAAAAAAACAAAAAAAAACAAGCGTAACATATTCATTACGAATAAAATCAGCACGGGAAACTTGGGCACAAGACGACGAATGCGGCAAAACCAGCACGCCAAACTTTCGGCGAGTTGTCAGGATGAATAAAAATAGCGAAGAAAAAAAAAACGTTGGTCAACTCACACCCAACACTAGTCTTTTAAGTTACACAAATTATTCTGACCCTTCGATCCCGGAGTCTGACTTGAAGCGTAAAAGAAATTTGGCACAACTTGCACTAGCAGCACAAGGCTAAAATAACCAACAAAGCTTGGTAGCCACAACTAGGTCACTACAGCCATGACCGGGATTTGGGGACGTCTGCACGTAGTGCCATCTTTCGTCAGCCACAGCGGCTGCCTGGCGTAACTGAATGGGAAATAGGCGAAAAAAAAATCGTATCTGAAGAAAAAAAGCTATTTATCAAAAACGACCGACCTTTTCGAACAGGCTGGCAAAATTAGCGTTGCACTACAAGCCGTGTTTAATATTTAACAATGGGGTCGTATGTATTTCTATGGGCGGTGCTCAATTGTACTCCGGGAAGCCGCAAGCCTTGTAGTGCGATACTGCAATTTTACCGAAATGTGCCGGTGGTTCTCTGCGACATAAAACCCGGAGTCGTTCTTGATAACTGACGTTTTTTTTTTTTCAAAGAATGATTTTTCTCATCCATTTTTAATTCAGTTTTGGCAGACTGCTGTTCCTGTCCACGACAGATGACGCCACGTCCAGATGTTCCAGAATTCCCGGCAATGCTTCCTTTGATTTCTTCTTTGTTCTTTGTCTTTCTGACTTTTTTCTACAATGTCTTTTTGTCTGTGCTTCTATTTACCATTTTTCTATTTTTCTTTATATTTAAATTTCCCGCTTCTTTTTCTTTCTGCGCTTTTAAAACGACACGACAACCGGGCCCGATGGAAACGCGTAAGGACCTTAGAAACGCGACGCACGTCGCGCCTCCCCTCTAGCACGGACGAGATATCGTACTGTGCAGGCGTTAAGCGGGCAACGGAGTGTTACAACCAAGAAGGATTTAAAAAGTAACTGGAGTGGAAATGATTGCGCAGAAGTGAAGCCGTTCCTCTGGCAAAAAGGCGGTTGTGGCGGCCATCTTACTAGGGGCATGATAAAGTATCAACGAAGCGTTTCCCTCGCACGCCCAACGAGTTTAATGTGGAAACTTTTTCGGGCCACATAGTGCTCCAAGTGCGTCTTAAAGTTCCTAGTTTTCCGTAGTGAGCCTCTAATTGGAGGCAAAGTTCTTTGAAGATTCAGTCATCCACACTTGATTCTGTGTGTTATTTCGTCGGGAACAACTATCCTTTAATATAGAACTAACGTAGCATTTACATAACGTATCAAAGCCACTTGATCTTTAAGTGGGCACTATCAGAAAAGAGCATGTTTGCGCCATCTTGGCAGTGGCAAAAGGTGGCTTCACTTCTGCTGGCAAGGCATTGCAGGAGCTTCCACTCCAGCAATTTTTCTTTAATTCTCCTTGGTTACAACCAGGCGAACGTGGCTGAGCAGGGGCTTCACGATGATGATAACTTTCGCTAACAAGGGGTCTGCAGCACGTAAGCAGCTCCGCTTACCGCCCCACCCCCCTCACCCTTAAGAAGTCGAATGAGGAAAGACTGGACACATGCTACTAAAACGGCAGTTCAATCGAGGAAGCCGTGACTTCAAAACGACGCAGATGACGAGGAAACTTGCATCATAGCACGAGCAAATTCCAAGACTACCAAAATTAGGCCTGCGCCTTAGGTGGGAGAGGGGTTGCCTTTAATACTGATCATTTAAGAGTCGGACGGCCGATCAAGCCCCAAGTCCATACCGAATCACGCGTCCAACGCCATGATACGCGTACCTCGAAGGGTTGCCGATTCGGGCCCCATCGACGGAAGGTGCTTTTTCCTCCACTCCGATTCTTTTCAATTTAATGCCAACGATTGACCTCGCTTTCTGGATTCCGTACTGAACGATTGTGTCGCCCGCGATGAGCGTAGCTCTCGCCGACTGGCCCGCCTACCGCGATCTCCTGACGCCGTTTAGTAGCTCTCGCCGAGTGGCGCCCCGTTTTCGGACTCCTCCGACCGTCTCCCCCACCTTTCCCATCTCTCCTTTCGGTAGCTCCTGTGCGGAGAGTGTCCTCTCTTCTTTATCTTTCACTATTCTTTTTATCTCCCTTCTCCCGTCCACCACTAGGCACTGCTCCATGTCCACGACAATCAGGCAGACAGAAATTAGATGCCTTTTCCTCTTCAAGAATCACGCATTTCAAATAATTACACTGCATTTACAACAAATTTTCTGGTTTCCTATGCTTTCCTTGGTTTATATGAATGTTGTATTAACTTGGTCGTGTCTGATTGAAAAAAAAAAAAAAACGAGCACCTTGAAGTAAATTCCCCTTCCCTTCACGTAAGAGCGAAAGTAATTCATCTCATCAGTGCCACTCTCAATGGCAAAGAAGTCTGCAGCGGGGCACATCATGACACGAAGAGCCAGTATGGTTTACTCACCGATATCGCGGCGATCTCCTCGATGCTGGGGACATTCTTTCGACCTCCGTACTTGAACGTTTTTCGCAGGTTCTGCAGACACACCATGGCCGTACCTGCGAAAACAATAAGGAAAAAAAAATGCCCGGAGTTTTGTTAAGGGCGAACTGTTCAGTATTCAGAGTGTTTTGCCGATCAGAGTCTCACCGATACCTGAATACAAACGTTGTTAAAAGGCCAGCCAACAGGCTCCGACGTTTTTTTTTTTTCACACATCGTAAAGACGCTCGGCACTTTGTAGAGTAGACCACACCGATAACGCTTCCCGAATATTACAGCGCACGGGCAAAACATTCATTTCGATGAACAACGCCGTTGCATTGTTCATCGCCTGACCGATTTTACCTTCACGCGCAGTGACGCAAAGTCGGCGACTAGACGTAGAACGCAGCTCGTCGATTGCTCTAAACCAGTCTGGTCGGCGGGCTACGCCTTCCCCTCGCCGTGAGGCAGAAGGGCGGAAAGGCCGCCCGAAAATTTGGAACCAGCTGAAACCCGGTAACTTGCTTAATGTAGCATGTGTTCGCGAAATTCTTGTGGCACTATGCTCGCACAGCGAAAGTGCACATATTTCTCCTGATGACAATTTTTGAATGCCATGGTTTAGTACGGGTGAAGCTCCTTAAGCCCTGGGTCGTGCTTCTCCGATATGTGGTGTGTGTATGTACACACACACACTATATATATATATATATATATATATATATATATATATACCTAGCGCCAAAGACAGTGGGGCTCGAACCCGGGTCCGATGGGTGCCAGCCCAGTATTCTACCACTGATCTACGCTAGTGCTTGTGACTTGTTGGCAACCTAGCGCCAAAGACAGTGGGGCTCGAACCCGGGTCCGATGGGTGCCAGCCCAGTATTCTACCACTAAGCTACACTAGTGCTTGTGACTTGTTGGCAAACCTAGCGCCAAAGACACAGTGGGGCTCGAACCCAGGCCCACTGGCTGCCAGCCCAGTATTCTACCACTGAGCTACGCTAGTACTTGTGACTTGTTGGCAAACCTAGCGCCAGAGACACAGTGGGGCTCGAACCCGGGTCCGATGGGTGCCAGCCCAGTATTCTACCACTGATCTACGCTAGTGCTTGTGACTTGTTGGCAACCTAGCGCCAAAGACAGTGGGGCTCGAACCCGGGTCCGATGGGTGCCAGCCCAGTATTCTACCACTGAGCTACGCTAGTGCTTGTGACTTGTTGGCAACCTAGCGCCAAAGACAGTGGGGCTCGAACCCGGGTCCGATGGGTGCCAGCCCAGTATTCTACCACTAAGCTACGCTAGTGCTTGTGACTTGTTGGCAAACCTAGCGCCAAAGACACAGTGGGGCTCGAACCCAGGCCCACTGGCTGCCAGCCCAGTATTCTACCACTGAGCTACGCTAGTACTTGTGACTTGTTGGCAAACCTAGCGCCAAAGACACAGTGGGGCTCGAACCCGGGTCCGATGGGTGCCAGCCCAGTATTCTACCACTGATCTACGCTAGTGCTTGTGACTTGTTGGCAACCTAGCGCCAAAGACAGTGGGGCTCGAACCCGGGTCCGATGGGTGCCAGCCCAGTATTTTACCACTGAGCTACGCTAGTGCTTGTGACTTGTTGGCAACCTAGCGCCAAAGACAGTGGGGCTCGAACCCAGGCCCACTGGCTGCCAGCCCAGTATTCTACCACTGAGCTACGCTAGTGCTTGTGACTTGTTGGCAAACCTAGCGCCAAAGACACAGTGGGGCTCGAACCCGGGTCCGATGGGTGCCAGCCCAGTATTCTACCACTAAGCTACGCTAGTACTTGTGACTTGTTGGCAAACCTAGCGCCAAAGACACAGTGGGGCTCGAACCCGGGTCCGATGGGTGCCAGCCCAGTATTCTACCACTAAGCTACGCTAGTGCTTGTGACTTGTTGGCAACCTAGCGCCAAAGACAGTGGGGCTCGAACCCGGGTCCGATGGGTGCCAGCCCAGTATTCTACCACTGAGCTACGCTAGTACTTGTGACTTGTTGGCAAACCTAGCGCCAAAGACACAGTGGGGCTCGAACCCGGGTCCGATGGGTGCCAGCCCAGTATTCTACCACTGAGCTACGCTAGTACTTGTGACTTGTTGGCAAACCTAGCGCCAAAGACACAGTGGGGCTCGAACCCGGGTCCGATGGGTGCCAGCCCAGTATTCTACCACTGATCTACGCTAGTGCTTGTGACTTGTTGGCAACCTAGCGCCAAAGACAGTGGGGCTCGAACCCGGGTCCGATGGGTGCCAGCCCAGTATTCTACCACTAAGCTACGCTAGTGCTTGTGACCTGTTGGCAAACCTAGCGCCAAAGACACAGTGGGGCTCGAACCCAGGCCCACTGGCTGCCAGCCCAGTATTCTACCACTGAGCTACGCTAGTACTTGTGACTTGTTGGCAAACCTAGCGCCAAAGACACAGTGGGGCTCGAACCCAGGCCCACTGGCTGCCAGCCCAGTATTCTACCACTGAGCTACGCTAGTACTTGTGACTTGTTGGCAAACCTAGCGCTAAAGACAGTGGGGCTCGAACCCGGGTCCGATGGGTGCCAGCCCAGTATTCTACCACTGAGCTACGCTAGTGCTTGTGACTTGTCGGCAAACCTAGCGCCAAAGACACAGTGGGGCTCGAACCCGGGTCCGATGGGTGCCAGCCCAGTATTCTACCACTGAGCTACGCTAGTGCTTGTGACTTGTCGGCAAACCTAGTGCCAATGACACAGTGGGGCTCGAACCCGGGTCCGATGGTGCCAGCCCAGTATTTTACCACTGAGCTACGCTAGTGCTTGTGACTTGTTGGCAAACTTACCTTAGGCAGGCTTGATGTCGGGAAAGCAATCGCGTTAATACGACTTATAGAGCATTTTACAACTGTGAAAGATCAGCCAGTCGTCGCACAATCCGAATAGCGTAACGAGTGGGCCGTCCAACGCTCCAACACACCACAAAAGCTCGTGCTTGTTCCCCTATAGACTGGCGCATACCCACTTCAGCCATAATTCCTCATCGTCGTCACAGCGACTGCATGAACAATGAACACGAAATTCCTCGCAAGTGTTAACGGATACCGCGATCCTCAGAAGAATGACGAAAAATAGCATGGCGAATGCCGGCCTACTACCCAAAAGCTTATTATGCCCTATAGTGAGTACCAAGCAAGTGTGCTTGCAGTAGTTACCCAATGAGTGTTTTGAAAAAGGCTCTGAAAGGCCGCTCTTCTAGCTTTCGCCGTGAGTGCGCTGCGCATTCCACGCAGGCCTGATTTTTTTTTAACGCGAGAGCGTTGAAGAGCTCGTTTCGAAGAAAATTTCGGCGTCCGTGCACGACGTTCGGACGCACGGACGTGGTACCGTACCGTGGTAGGCCCTCCTCTTGTCGTAGGCAGCCGCCTCGAGAAACTTGAAGAGGTACGGCTTGAGGTTCTCGGAGCAGTCGAAGTACGCCGCGACGATGGAGAAGAGACGCCAGCCTCGTTGACAGCTGTCCCTGGAGAGGAGGAGGAGTAGACAGGAGAGGGCGTCACATTACGACGGACAGAATACACCGAATGCAGGGCACAACGGCCGCATGGGTGGTCGAGGGGCACCAAACAACGGTTAAGTGCGCCACATATTGTGAAAGCAGTCCGGTGCTGCAGGGATCTAAAAAACAAATCCTATTAAGCAAGTTAATTTTATTCCTTTTTAATAATTACAAAGAGTAAATTAAAATGCAAACTTACAGTTGGTCACAGAAGTTAATGCACCACAATAAACTTGTGCACATGCGTGGGGGAGAGGGGAGGCATGGGTGCGGCTGCCCAAAGCCGACTAAATTTCAAGGCCGAAAGGCTGCCGCAGTGACGTCAGAGGGTGGGGGCCCAGTTACGCCGCGAACGCGGCGGAAAGCCTGTGTTTCGTTCACGTTTTAGGAGAACCAACGCTCCGGCTCTCGCAGCTGCTGCGGCTTGTTTGGGCCGAATAAAAGATGTGGAAAAAAAGTCTTACTGAGCATGCTCAGTTGGGCAACTGGGCCCCCAATCTTTGACGTCACTGCGGCAGCCCTTCGGCCTTGAAATTTAGTCGGCTGCCACCCCCCCCCCCTTTACTTTCTTTAGACACACAAGAGAGGCGGGCGCAATGATGTCTGCCCCATACATAATACTGATTCGATTGATAAGTGGGGTTTTTCATTGATATGTGGTGTTTAACGTCCCAAAACCACCATATGATTATGAGAGACGCCGTAGTGGAGGGCTCCAGAAATTTCGACCGCCTGGGTTTCTTTCTTTTTAACATGCACTCAAATCTGAGCACACCGGCCTGCATTTACGCCTCCATCGATAATGCAGCCGCCGCAGCCGGGATTTGATCCCGCGACCTGCGGGTCAGCAGCCGAGTACCTTAGCCACTAGACCACCGCGGCGGGGCCATCCATGATATAGATAACATGAAATTAATATGGAAGGAAGAGGGTGTTGCGACGATCCTGTGCCCTTCCCCCTCTTTTTAGGTGTAACATTTCGAAAAAGTTATTTTCGCAAAACTGATGATCACGCACTGTGATGCGAAATGATGGTTTATGCACCAACTCCAGTACACCTTATTTCTCGTACGTTTGCACTAAAACCTGACATATATTTGTTCAGTGGCACACACTTGAGATTCTAACATCATCTTAATTAGAGTTAACAGTACGCTGATATAAGTGAAACACACAAGTATTTTTCACGCCACAAGAGAAGCGCGCACGCTATATTTCGGTGAAAGTAATCGCAAAAATAATAATTTGCTCCATGTTAATCACGTGAAGTAACATAGTGAAGTTACAACTGTTACATGATCAACTAAACATAGACAAGTCCCGCTACATAAAGCTATCCGCAGCTAGAACTACCCACCACAATACTCTCACGCCCTTGCCCCTTACAGATTTCACACAGGTGCCTTCGAATTCTCGTTCTTCCCGCTTGCGATCAGAGAATGGAATAACCTGTCCCCCTCCATTACCAGTAGAACATCCTTAGCCACTTTCACAAAACTGGTAGAAAGCGACTTGATAGCCTCGCAAACATAATATGGTGCTATGTGATCTTTCTTATTTAAGTAAAGTGTCAATATGATTGTACTTCGACGTATGTACTTATATGTTTTCTTTTTTTGTTGTTTTGTCAATTTTTCTTATTATTTTTCCCTTTCTATTGACTGTACTTAATCACTGCCTTAGATTGTCCACCTGTTATAATCCCTCTGGGATTGACAGTATGTATAAATAAATAAATAAAAAAGTAACGCATTACTATGTTACCAGCTCACAAAAGCATGATTCATTATATCACTTATTACAACAGAAAAATTGCTGCGATTTCACAGCTAACAAGTCCGCAATCTTTGGTGGGCGAAGACATTGCCCATTGTTTACTTTCAGCAATGCGACGTGGGGGAGGGGCAGGCAGCAATAAATGGAGAATAACCGGTGTCCTGACGAGTCTTGAAGGCGCGTCCCAGAATCCGCACTTGCTTGTAGCGTATACTTCGCTATCGAACGTTAAGGAATAGGCACCTCCAGACGCGAAGCCCGAAATTCCTCATCGGATTTTTATACCGACTGGTCGCAACGTTGTCACTAACACCGCTTTCTACGTAGAGGGAAGCAAGAGTTGTGGGCATGGATCAGAACAGCTAGATGATAGCGAGCTAAACCCCCCCCCCCCAAAAAAAAAATCGTCACAAGGGAAGCCCAGAAATGCAGCGCGACTTTCGCGGAGAAATCCAAGAGAAGCGCAAGGTTCTGAATTTTCCCCATTCTTGAACATGTCGGTAATAGTATTTTAAAAAGATCCCTCAAATTGAATTGAATTGACTATTTCTTCTGTTTATACAAGAAAGGAAGCAGAAGCTGAAGGTCATGTGGCCTAACAATGGCTTCAGTTCCTACGACAGTTCGGCACGCAAGGCCGTACATATCGCAAGTCAATACAAAGTGTATACAGACGTATTCCACTGACTAGTCACGAAATTAAACGGGCATGTGTACAAAAAAGTGGAAAAGCGAGAATAAACACGTTATGTCTGCAAAGAAACAACAACGAAAAAATACACAATACACTGATAGATCATTTTGCCCAAGCGAACAACTAAAATTTGCAATTGAGACACCGAAAATGAAAAATAAATATAGCAGCTTTGTCAGACAAACTCAATACTTTGTGAAATGAGCAATGTTTTAAGTGATTCTCTTGACGCTTCTATAACTTCGTCGTGAAATTTATGTATTCTATTGAGTGGTGAAGGTGCATGGTAACTTTGTAACTGTTTGCCATAATTTGTTCTTATTTTTGGTGTTTTCTAATAGTGTTGCCGAAAGCTGTAACGCGGGTTGGTGGGTGCATCCGTGATATAGTGTGTCCAGTCTTGTTTGATATATTTCATTAACTTGTAATAGTACACCTGATTTCAGTTTAACACTTGATACTTGATTTTAGTACTTGATAAAAACTGGCTGGTTCTGAAATTCTGTAAAGGTTCCCCGATAACGCTCAAGTTACTGTAGAACTTTTTTTTTACAGCACAATCGGCTTCCTATAATTTTTTTGTGTGGCCGTGCCCCAGATTAATATACAGTAAGTTAATCGGGAGTAAAACAGTGCGTAATACAACAAAATTTTCAGCCAAGAAGGAACCAGAGTACTCAATTTGTATAAGCAGCCAACAGTTTTACTTAATTCTGTTACAATTTTGTCTGCATGTGTGTTCCAAGCGAGATCTTCCTGAAACCACACTCCTAGCAATTTTCAACGTTTAACCCTCTCGATTATTCTGACATCAAAAACAATAGTCGCGTTGCAGTTTCGTGGTTTATTAGTCGGGGCAAATATCACATATTTCGTACTAAAGAGGGTTCAAAAATCAATTCAAAACTATTCGCTGCAGCGAAAATATGCGCAAATATGAACGAAGGCATATGTGTATACTATAGGTAACGTTGTCTCCATGATGTCTCCAGAATCTTCATATCGGTCAAACACACGTTTGCCACAGCCCGACTAACGTTGTTAATTTCCCCAACTCATACTCAAACTCTTACTCAAACACAGAACTACTCAATGTCATCAACAAACGTGCGAATAATGAACGACAAACGCGCCATTAGCGAACGCCATGACTACCAAAATAAATACCGTAGCTGGAGAATACAGATAAGCCCCATAAAAACGCGACAATCGACTGGGAAATTCTACAAGCAAACTGCAGGCGAAAAAGAAAGCCCAAATCCACCAATTGTACACGAATATGAAAGGGTGCATTCCAGGGACGGTGAACACAGACGATGAAGAATACAAAATGACAGTTCATCGTCTGTGTGTATCGTCCCTTGGTTGTGCCGTTTCCGAATCATGACCCTTTACCGACTCGCCCAACTATCACTGCCGCCTATTATAGCCGGAATAGGCAACTCTGCCATGGATTACTGGTTACGGGGGTAAGCCAGCTATCGCACGTGAAAGATCGCGGATTCACTATGAATGGATAACATCCGTCGGTGTTGATAAGTGACAGATACCGGCAAACTAGGAGCCCTACTCCTTAGCAACCTAAGATACAATGAGCGGCTACAATAGATGTACTAAAAAGAAACAATTACTTGGTTAATGTTGATAAACTGCACCCTGCGAACCACAATGCCGTAAGGTTCACTATCGTAAGTTCATTATTGGTTTCATTGTTTTAAATTTCGCGCCGAAATCGCCACGAGTGACGTAACGAATTTCAGAATGCATTTTTCGCATTTTCGAGACATTGGCTCGATGAAATTTTATGAAATTTTGTACGCTAGGTTTATGGCACCCACAGGTGGCAATGTACTTCGATTTCATCGATTAGAAGTTGCGCACGATCCAGTCGATGCCTTCAAAGACAATGACGTCACGGAGTATGGTGCGGGAATGTCAAGGTGGCGTCGCCACTGGCGTGTTCTTTTCGCGCGTTTTTTCGCTCACTGAGCGTCACGCCGTGGTAAGAGCGACGTTTTAGCGATTGCATAATTGTACTTAATAATACGCGAAAAATCGTTTTGTTCTTAGATAGTGTCCCTTTCACGTGCGCACTGGCCGACTTCACGCTTGCCATTAGATAGAGAGAACTAAATTTCCGGGCTTCCATGAAGGGGCATCTAACAACCCTCGCTTACTGTAAAAACGCCACCTCAAACGCATGCGCACAACCTTGCTGATCGAAAGAAACCCCCAATTTGTGAAACACGGTCTATGATTACGGAAATAGAATCCGTGAAGCAGATTCAAGGCAGCGCAGCACTTAAACACAAGCGAGTAAACTCCATTCACCAAGTCCCCCGCCGCGGTGGTCTAGTGGCTAAGGTACTCGGCTGCTGACCCGCAGGTGGCGGGATCGAATCCCGGCTGCGGCGGCTGCATTTCCGATGGAGGCAGAAATGTTGTAGGCCCGTGTGCTCAGATTTGGGTGCACGTTAAATAACCCCAGGTGGTCAAAATTTCTGGAGCCCTCCACTACGGCGTCTCTCAATCATACGGTGGTTTCGCGACGTTAAACCCCACATATCAATCAATCAATCAATCCATTCACCAAGTGCGGTCGACGGTGCGGTCGGGGTCAACTTCCTTAAAACAGCTGTGCTAGGACTGTTTCGATTGCGGATTTATTGCTTCCTATAAATGATCTGTAGGGATGCGATGCAACAAGACACGAGATTTACTGTTATAGGTCTAAGATAAAACAATTATCACTTACGGTTTGGAACTCTTGTTGCTTGTGGTCTGCTTGATTATTTGGCAATAGACTTCATCCCGAAGTGCGGGAATCTTATGGCAACTCTGTAAAAATAAGAACGGGTTGTCAAATAACTAATTCGTGCCGGAGATAGGGCGCGTTGAACAACATAGCCGTGCGAGGAAGACAATATAAAGAATAGAAAATATTTTTTTTTCAAGTTCGGTGGAACTTACTACAAGGATAGAGTAGACGCAATCCACTTCGGACTGGTTCTTGGACATGGGGTAGTCGCCCATATAGCGCATGATGGCTGGCGAGGAAGAAAGAACGAACACAGGAAGTTTACATACAGCAGAGAATGACATTGCACTTTCTGGAGCAGCATTGAATATTGGGATGGCAACGCGCATACAGCATAAAAAAATTGCCCGCAGCTTCCCTCAGGGGAACACTGAGGAGGATGCGGAGCATATAATTGGTTAACGGGGTGTTAAAGTGCGACTTACTTGGGTCGATGGCTAAATTGGTTAACGTGGTTGTGAAATGGGGTGTTAAATTGCGACTTACTTGGGTCGATGGCTAAAATTGGTTAACGTGGTTGTAGGAGGGGGTGTTAAATGAGTGAACACGTACACACGTATGCGAAAGGGCGGCGCTGGTCGAAGGGACGTCGATCATTGTGTTTGTGGATTCGTTGGAATTCATTTCACGCGACCTTGGACGTCGACGCGCCGTACAAACCAACCGACGAGCGGCAACTGAGCGAGCGAGCGCCGACCTTGAGTATATATACCGCGCGACGGTGCATGCACTGTCAGCTGTTGAATGTTCTCGAAGCGCGACGCCACATGCGCGTCCACTGGAGAATCAGGAGAATTGTAGATGTCGAACGCGGTGTGTAGAGGAGGAAGGGTGCACAGATGGTGGAGGAGTGAAGCGCGCGCGGTGTGTAGAGGAGGAAGGGATGCACAGATGGTGGAAGAGTGGGCGACGGCACGACGGCGCATGCGCGCGCGTCAGCTGTCGAATGTTCGAGAAGCGGTGCGGACGGCGCACTACAAGGCGCGAGTATAAGATGCTTCCGCATCTAATAACGGCACGTCATGCGAGACCACAGCACCCTCATCGTGCACACGCACAAACATGAATAAGCATGCGACTTGATTGACACTTACATAGGAAACTTTCTATGGCAAGCTTGTTCAGTTCGGGCGATTCGAGATTCAGGAGTGAAGCCTTGATGGGAGACTGAAAAAAAAAACCACAATATAAACTTTTTGTCACTTCAAAGCACTTCGCTTCAGTGGTGTGTGTGTCTGGACAGCCCACTGTAAGCTAGTCGGAGTGTGATGCTGAGAAGTGCAAGAGGCTAGGCAAAAAATGAGAAACAAACTCAATGGCTGTTTCTCTTGGTATCGAATTGAACGCGATGGTAGCTTCCTTTAGAACTGGCGTGTTACTGTCCTTACAATATGATAGCTTCATTCTAAAATGATAATAGGCTTGTCCTTGCAACGCCTCCGAAATCAAATGCTTAGTTCCATGGCCTTGCCTTCGTTCCCGATGGCAGAATGTGTTGCTGCTGCTGACTGCCTTCAGAACTCAAATGCAATGAGTCGCATTCCAAGCAAGGCTGAGTCAATGTCCGCGCCAGACTCCATCAAGCTTAAACTCTTGTGTCTTTCCTCGGTCCTTTGTAATTAATTTTGAAGCGTTTTTTTTCACCCGACTTCTGTGTAAGGAAGCAAACGAAGTTCAGTTCTTTTTAAGATTCCCCGATTGCAAGCCCATCTCAGGATTTCCTTTTTCTTAGACGAATGATGAAACTAAAGAAGTTGAATCATTCACACTGCCAGAATTATCAGACAGGAACGCTGCAAGCGCGCGAATAGATACGACTGGCTAGTGAGGTCGTATTCATTGTCATCATTTGGCACGAGCATCATAAACTACAGAGTCCATTATTGCGAACTTCATTGCTACTTAGCATCAATCATTACGTCTGAATTTATTCATTCTCCCGATTGTCACGTAACGCCTACCAGTACTACAGAAGACCGCGGCTGCACACGGTACACTATGGCCGCAAAAGAGACGACGTAGCTCGCTATGGTTAAACATGAACAGCCTTATTCGAGTAAGGTGCTAGGGACCTGATGTTGAACTACAGGACGGTCGTAGCGAACCTTAGAAAACTTGATGAGCTGGGCGAGTTCCTTCCAGGTCCAGTCGGAGTCCTTGCCTTTCTTGCTGGCTTTCAGGTCCTCGAGCATCTTCAGAGAGCCACGGAAGGAACCATTCTGGTCTCGGAGCATCTCGTACCTTCGTACGTGGAAGGCGATGTGCGAGAGAGAGAGAGAGAGAGAACGTAAGAGTTGCGGCTTGGTATTGTTGGCATTCACTTTCGTCAGTGTAATGAAGCATAGTTTTACATAACATTTGAAACTAAAGAGAGTATAGGCTAATTCAATACGAACAATACTACAACTTAATGGTACTTTGCATTACTTCGACTGTAGGATACCCCGAACACACGTCTCCGACCCACTCTGCCTTTGTCTCTTATGGCTGCATCGATCATGTTTTATTGCGATAGCAAGTATAAATGCAGTCACGTCGGTATATTTTTTTTTGGGTCGGCGCCATGTCACACATAAAGACCAAATCGATAAGATGCCCCAGCGCATCGTACGTTCTGCTCGCAGGTAACAGGGAGCGAGCGGGGGCGACTGACGAAGGCGAGATCAGACAAGCCTAGCTATCTTTGTTGCTCCGAGGCACGTGCGATGACAGCTGCGCATTACTCTACTTTTTACTCCCACTACCTGCATGCAGTTCTCCTGCATTTTTGCACCTGCTCTTACGGCACCAGCGATGCTCCCATGTCCTTCAATTGTGAATACATCAAAGCAAAGTGCACATCTCAAGTACTAGACGTTGCCCAATGAAGACCTTGGTTAACCATTTCACCTTCGTCTACGGCATTAAAACAACACCTTCCCTTCCCCACCCGACGCTTCGTATCACCCGATTGTTCCCTTCGGGAAGATGCGGCCATTTTTCGTCTATGGCTCGCTGCTTCGTCCTCGATTTCAGCTGAAGCATTTTATTAAACTCCAGGTTTCCAGCCACGCACGTGAGTACAGGCAGGTAAGATGCAGCTGCTATATACGTTTTTCTTGAGGGATATTGGTAAGCTAGCTATTCACGATCTGAAAATGCCTTCCGAGTTGCGTGCCATCCGGTTCTTGACCTTTGTTCGATATAGAGTACATGCAATGCAGATGGCACAGACCTGTCGAGGCTTTCCCTGAAGTTGAACATGGCGTACTGCAGCATGCTGTGCTTGCCGTCGGCCATGTGGCTCTCCACGCCGTTGCTCTGCTCGATGGCGAGGTCCTCCAAGTTGTCCACGTGGTCCTGGAGGTGACGTTAGAGTGAGGACGCTTCATGTTGAATCAATGACCGCGAACAGGTTATCCTTCACGCGAAACATTACGAATGTTGAATACGGCTTTGAGCTAGCACTGCATTTTTCTTTAGAAGAAGGCTCGCAGTACGTGACACTGCTTGCACGCCTAAAGTTCACGTCAAAATCATACTCCGGTCACCGACTGAGGTCGACTGCAACGGCCCCCTCGCACAAAACGAGCCTTCCTCATATTAAACGGACTCTCTTGCGACTCCCCTTCCCCCCCCCCCCCGCCCCGGAAGTTTACAGATTGCACAGCCTTTCAGGTTGCACCGTTTGACCTTTCACCATTGCAGTATCACAGGTCGCCGCCAAGAGCGGTCACCTGTGGCCCCTGACTTGATTTGTGGGGTTTAACGTCCCAAAACCACCATATGATTATGAGACGCCGTAGTGGAGGGCTCCGGAAATTTCGACCACCTGGGGTTCTTTAACGTGCACCCAAATCTGAGTACACGGGCCTATACCATTTCCGCCTCCATCGGAAATGCAGCCGCCACAGCCGGGATTTGATCCTGCGACCTGCGGGTCAGCAGCCGAGTACCTTAGCCACTAGACCACCGTGGCGGGGCGTCACCTGTGGCCCCTCAAAATGGCACATTCTTCAGACAGTTTTTCTGGGGAAGTACGCTAAGAATTTTGACGCATCGTTAAACACTATTCTACGGATAAAGATGACTAATTTTAATTATTTATACAGGAATACCTCGAAGGCCCCCGAAGAGGCATAGCGTGAAAGGGAGGGGGGAATACACTACAATCAATACATGATATGTTGTATGCATACACGCATTAAGAAATTGTCACAGAGTAACAAAATTTCAAGTTATCAAACTACAAAAAAGTTAGAAAAAATAATAGCGAGTAAGTAAATGTACAGCAAAATGTTTTTTTAGCATTACAGTAAGAGGTGCCCAGGAAAACTTGTAATACAGGAGGATATAATACACTTGCGTGAATATACATAGACAACATAGAGCAATATATATTCTCTATTGTATTGCGCAATACGATATAGTATACAGAAAGAGCCGAAGCAGCCACATATAATGTACCTTGGCCTCGACCCAGGTAGGCTGCTCCGTTGTGCGCATGCGCGTGCTCCGACGGAGAGCGCATCTCTCCTCGAGCACCAATGGCAGACGCCGGGGAGGCGGAGAGACCGTTGCGGCCGCGCAGACGACAGTGGCGCCACGTACTCGCACGGGAACAGGCCGCTGTCACCGGTGTCCGTAACGCCGTAAAGCCAGCCTGCAGTGTACGTCAGCGTGAACGGGAGACATGCTAGCGAGGTATGACGTAGTACCTTACTTTTTACGCTGTATAGACTATTTTGCCGAGGGGCTTCGGTGCTACTGTGTTGGGCTGCCAACCTTTGTGCTTTAGTTTTTTTTATAACTAAACAGTGTTCACGGTATAGACGCACACACACGAAAACGGTTTAGTTGGTGCACACGGTGTTTCATGACCTGATTGGTTCACACCGCAATACACAAAAAGAAGAAAACATCGACATAACAGTCAAAAATGGTGGCGCCCATATGTCTTAAGTAAAATAGTCTACACGCTCTAAAGGCTTGTTCACACTGGCGACTAGCACTGCCTGCAAACAGTTCCCAAGTGGCCGGCCCCCTAAGAGTAGAAAGGGGGGGGGGAGGCAATGGCTGCCACATATATTGAACTGACTTAAGCAGTGGGGAGGGGGGAGCTGCGACCAGCCTTCGTCCACCTTGTTGGGGAATCCTGCTCATGCCTACGGACATTGGCTGATGTGTAAGCCGATAAGAGCAGCGAGGCTACCGATTGAGAAACAGGTACGAACGGTGCCCAATTCACGCTGTAGCGTTCCGCTCTTGAGATGGATTCTCAGACGTCCATTTTTTTTCCCGGTGAGGAGCGGCACGCGTCCATGCGCCTTATGCGGCATTTATGACCGGAGAGTAGCGAGAGTACAGTTTTCGAGGAATTATATGCGTAATAGTGTTAGTGGGAGGGGGGGGGGGCATCAAGAGGATGTCACTGGAGTACTTTCCCTCTGAAGCAGGCGCGAACGCTCCATTCCTTTAAAAAAAATGTATAGATAAGCGAATCAGAAACCATTTTAACAGAGTTTGAATTACGACAATGTTACTATTCGCTGAAATCAGCTAACGGCAGATTTCGCACCCATGCGATATGATACGCAACATGAAACGTGGATAACATCACGCCATAGCAGTAAAAAAAAACGAAGAAAAATAAAAGATGAAATCGAGAAAGATGCAGCCATTTTGGGTTTTTTTGAAGCGAAGTCAGGACGTGACAGCTCAACGCAACGTGATAGAAAAAATGGTTACACCTGATCTTCCTCTTCCGAAGATCGACAACAAGAAATCCATAAACGATACTACGGGCTTGTCTGGCGAAGTGAGGCCAGCTGCTTACTTAACGTATTGATACATAAGCAAACAAGCAAAATATTGTGCTGACCGCCATTTCGCCGTCACTAAGACCAAGAAGCAGCTGTGAGTAGCCCACGAACTGTCCATGCGCCCGAATTTCAGAAAACAATATTTCATAATGGTGTACTAAATAGATGGACGCCAGGCGTCAAGCGATATGGACACCACGATATTATTTTAGGGCACGCTGCCACGTGGTGTTACGGGGATATTGAACAAGTGGCTGTTCTTTAACATCCACTGATATCACGAGTGCCCGGGCCTTTATCGTTTCGCTTCCGTGGAAATGCGGCCGCCGCGGCTGGGATTCGAATCCACGACCTTCGGGTCGGCAACCGAGCACTGCAACCTCTGGACCAATATAGCTAGTTCATTGGCCTAAGGCCCACATCATGTACGTTATCCTTAAACCCTACCGCTGCCTTATAACATTGAACCTAGGACATCGCGCTTAGTAGAACGCCTGAGCCAGCGAATGAGAGGGGCAGGTAATACAGATAAAAAAACCGTAACCATGCAGGTTTGTGCATTTCAATCACAAAAGGTTCAACAATCAATATCAATGCTAATGTGTAAGTGAGCTTTTATTTTGAATAACGACTGAAGTCGCGAACAAGGTAAGGACCATACAGCCGTGAAATGGGGCTAGAAATGACGGGCCCACAACAACTATATGCCATAGAAGGTTCCAAATGTCATTGGTACAGCGGCCTGACATCAACGTAACCCGCGGATCTGGTCTCAATCCACAGGGCAGACGACCGGTGGACATGAGCAACAGATTGGATACCAAGGGATGGAAATGCAGTCCGGCAAGGCGTAGAGGGGTCGGTGGGCTGACGAAATTGAAGAGTTCGCCGGGATAAAAATGGAGTCAGGTCGCACAGGATAAGGTAAACTGGATATCGTTGGGAGAGAGAGGCCTTCATCCTGCAGAGTATTAAGGCAGTCTGAGAACGGCGATGGTGGATATCATACCTTGAACGGCGAGCACAAGCTGACTAATAGCCTTCCTGGTCTGCGATGCGACGTTTCTAAACACTTCGGCCAGGGCCCATGGCCGGTCCGGGGACTGACCGGCGGCGCACAGCATACCTCGCGCCATCCATACACCGACCACTACCGAAAACACTCCCGTTGCAGAACGAAGCACGAAACAGAAGGGCGGGCGGGTCCAGGAGGACCACAACGACCGGTCGGACGGGTATGTACAGAGAGAACACACACACGTCGTCACTGGACACAACACGTAACGCCGCCGTCGTCACCGGACGTCGTCCGTCAGTGTGCCACGGACACATGCAGAGCATATGCGCTTGCGCCGCGCGACGAAGGAGAGACGGCCCAGTGTCCCGGTGACGCTGCCGTGACGCCGGCCGTGCCATTGTGCCGGGGCCCTGAACCGAGCGCTCGCCTCGGCTGGCTTCTACGGCTTGCCCGCATGTCGGGCGTGTCCGCACGCTAGCGCAGGTCAAGCCGAACGTCGTTCATCTTCTCCCTTCCCACTACCCGCTTGTCACATGCTTCGTTGATACGTTCGGCGGTGGAAGCCCTTCTATCCCCTGGTGGCGTTATACGCAGTGTATACGTAACAAGTTACAGCACGAGACGGGGCGCAAGTATAAGATTGGCGAAGAACTTTCAGAACTTGCCGCAGAAGAAAATGACGATGCTGATACGTAGGTTCTAGAAGCGCAAGGGCCATGCGCGGCCTATAGGAGCGTCATGGCAAATGACGGAATAGTAACAATGATCCGTACTTTGCGATGATATGTAAAAGGGTGTGAACAATGATAACGTTACGTGGCTGTATTGGGAGGGCCCCGAAATTCTGCATCGTAAGCCAGATAAAACACGAAAATGATGAGGGTGACATGAAATGTGTGTAGCCGGAATGAAGGGAAATTCTCGTGGGGAGAAAACTTTGATCTAAATATGACATCAGCAAGATTTCCTCGTGAGCGCCTTTGAGACCAAAAGCCGATTGCCACGTCACCCCTTCCCCCTTTCCAAAAAAAAAAAAAATGCTGCGAGCCCACGCGACGAACACAAACGACCCCACACCCCCTTCTAGAATGGTTTCGTTCTCAACCTCTCTACTCATAACGAGGTTATGGCGCAAAGAAACACAAGAGAAGGACATAAGCTCGTTAAGAATGAAGCAACTCGCCCAACAAGTCGCTCTGTTCTCTACTCCTGCCACGTAACGCGATCTCATCCTGGTCACTTATCTCATTCGTAAAACACGTCGACAATGACAGCATTGGCGTAGGCACAAAAAAAATAGTTGCTGGGGCTCCCTACGTTCAGCAGCATGCGGATTATGATCTCCATGAAGATCTACTTTCTTGATGTCCACCCGAATCCTGCGTGAGCGTCGACCATTTTTGTGCGTCAGCGCCGTATACGACGGAGCCAAGTTGCAAATGGGGCTTGAGTATAAGCGCATGTCCCCAAAGCGCGCTCAGGCTGGGCCCATCGTCTGCTTGGCTCTTCCTTCGTGACAACATCGCCCAGCCGCTAACTCACTTCAGACGAACAAGCTGCGCGTCTTGCTCGAATCTTACCCCGTATTCACAAACGCCCCTCCTCGAATTTCGTCCTTCACTTTACTGAGTAACACTGCGCCACTGCTCGACTTAAACTGACACCGCACTTCTCAAGAATCGCTGCAGATTATTGCCGATATGCAGTGACTTGACGATATGCAGTGAGATTATTGACGATATGCAGTGAGAGAGAGTGCACTCTCTCTGCCAAGAGAGTGCACTCGCATAGACTTTTTCAAGTCAAGGGGAAGCGTTGAGGGAAGGGACGTTCTAGAATACGGCGCTTATATTCCGGAAATCAGCAAGCAACCGTAAAAAACGAAATCCGCAGATACGTCACCCCCCCCCCCCCCCGCGCATGAGATAAGCTGGCAAATGTGGATCGTCCGAAGTGAGTTAATGCAGGGGCGACGTTGTCACGAAGGAACAGCCAAGCAGACGATGGGCCCAGCTCTGAGCATCTATAGGTGGTGGTTGCTGAGCGCGCTTTGTGGGCATGCACTTATAACTCTCGCCTTGTGTTGCAACGTGGTTCCGTCGCTGACGCGCACAAACCAGCCTGCGCTCGCGCACGACAGTTGAAGGTTTGTGCGGCCGCATACACCCAGCTTTCGCATGATGTGGCTTCTCAATGCGCACATTTCTCGTCCAGGGGCTGGTGCACACCGGCGACTTGCAGCGGTCGCGCGACCATTCGCGACTGGCGACTAAAAAGCGACTGATGTTCACACCGGCAGGGGCTGCATGCGAGCGACCGGAAGTCGCAAAACTGGAGAGTCACGACGATCGTTATAGCGCGAGAACAAAACGACGACACAGAGACAAGAAGGACACGTCCTTCGTGTCCGACACAGAGAGTCTCTGTGTCGTCGTTTTGTACTCGCGCTATAACTATCGTCATGCCATACCAACTAGCCCAAGCTGCCACACATCTCCATAGAAGTGTGGCAGCTTGCTAGTTGGTATGGCATGGCGATCGTTATAGCGCGAGAACAAAACGACGACACAGAGACAAGAAGTGTCTTTCGTGTCCGACACAGAGAGTCTCTGTGTCGTCGTTTTGTACTCGCGCTATAACGATCGCCATGCCATACCAACTAGCAAGCTGCCACACTTCTATGGAGATGTGTGGCAGCTTGGGCTAGTTGGTATGGCACGACGATAGTTATAGCGCGAGAACAAAACGACAACACAGAGACGTGTCTTTCGTGTCCTCCTTGTCTCTGTGTCGTCGTTTTGTTCTCGCGCTATAACTGTCGTCATTCTATGAAGAGTCACGTCCGGATCTCGTTATCAGCGAGATCTCTGGAGACTGGCGCCGATCAGGTGATCGTCGCCAGCTGAGTGAACGGAGCAAACCGAGCGTGCCGCTATGGTGGCTAGATACCATAGTGCCGCGTTTATTGGTTTCGTCCGTTATCGCACAGCGTTGAAAAAAAATTGAGCATCGCTGATTGGTTCCTGCAGCTTTGCGACTGCAGTCGCACGACTGAAAAAAATCAGAAAGCGACTAGGCAAAGCAGTCGCTTTGCGACCGTTCGCGACTGTTTGCGACCAGTCACAAAGGGTCGCGTGACCGCTCCTATAGTCGCAGGTGTGCACCAGCCTTAACGGTTACGGTGGTCGATGGTTGTGGCGAAATAACAGCGTCCCTCACAATGACATCATGGTTTTGACACCTAAAACCCTAGATACCATCAGCGCGCCATTTCCCAGACATGGCAGCATTGACTGACGTCAGTGTACTACAGTATCAAACGTGCTTCGTTTCGATTTTCGACGGATAGTGACTTAGCGATTCACCGCATGACGCGCCTGTTCTCGTTGCCAAGCTCCGCGTTTACGCAGCTGCTTGACAGGTCAGTATGCGAAGACTGGTCGACCGCGATGACGTCACAGAGAACAATCATTTCTCTCGCAAGACGTCACGAACGCACCTTTTCACCACAGAAGCACCCAAACGGGGCCCGAAACACACCCGCAGTCTATAGCAGCATTGATTGATATGTGGGGTTTAACGTCCCAAAACCACCATATGATTATGAGAGACGCCGTAGTGGAGGGCTCCGGAAGTTTAGACCATCTGAGGTTCTTTAACGTGCACCCAAATCTGAGCACACGGGCCTACAACACTTCCGCCTCCATCGGAAATGCAGCCGCCGCAGCCGGGATTCGAACCCGCACCCTGTGGGTCAGCAGCCGAGTGCCTTAGCCACTAGACCACCACGGCGGGGCAGTCTATAGCAGCATAACACCGCCGTGGTGGGTGACTGCTATCGTGAGTACAGTTCGAGAAGTAGATGATTCACTGACGTAAACGCTTTTTCTGGCGACATGTATTTAATATCAAATTACAACGGGGGCTCCATTTCTGCCATCGAAAAATAGGAGATCAGCCTATAGTCAGAAATTACGAAAGCGCGGACTTGAACCCTCTGATCCGCTTGCCGAAGCACACGAGTTTGCCTTGCATGTCGAAATACATTGGTCGAATTTTGTGTCTGCAAAACGAATACATCTCAATCACGCGCGCAAATTTCTAAAGAGCAGCGTTTCAATGTCGAAACGCGCTAGAAAAGTGCGCGAAGCACGTTTTCCGTCTACGAAAACACCGTCAGAGTTCGCGCGTCAACAACGCAACCGCTGCCGAAATACGAGTCTTTGTAACAGCACGTTTTCGCGCCAGCCTGGCTGGCGAGATGTTACACGCGCAACATCGAAATTTCGCCGCGGACAAGCTCGGCCATTGTGTTGCGTCGAATGCAGGAAAAAAAAAAAGTGCTACGACTGCTGCACGCAATTACGCGATCCGCGGTGAAAGGAACAAGAGGAAAAAAAAAAGGACAGACAAAAAAAATAAACATGGGAGAATGCACGAGCAGAGCAAGATGACCGACCGACTGACCTGCGAGCACCTGGAACGGGTGCACAATGGCGACTATACGTTTAAAAAGAAAAAAAGTGAACGAATGAAACGGGCAACAGAGGCAAGTTTCTTTCTAACGGGCAGTTTCGTATGCCATTCGCGCCATTATGTACTCGCAAGAGATCATCATCATTTCAAGACATAAGAAGAAAGGGCGGTTTGTTTTGGAGGAAGGGAACATATGAGCAACGAAGAGAGATTCGTTTGGAGAGCGTATCGAAAGACTATGGCGTACCGGCACTCGCCGCGAAAAGCAGAAATGAAAAAAAAAATCGTTTAGAAAGAGAGGAGGTCCGATCACACGTGACCGCACTGTTGACAGCTTGCACGTAGTCAAACTTCTTTACGTACGGTCAATTACAAAAGTTTACGGACCCCGCGGTGGAGCGAACCAACTGCTTGTCCGCGTCACCTAGTGGTGCGCCATCTACCGTCGAGCCCAGTGCAGGGCCGAAAAAGGGTCTTATATTCACTGGCCTTTCAATTTTCCACAGCCATGCTGCATATTGTTAGCTAACAGTTTTCACGCAAAATCGTATATCGGCAGCATGACTGTCACTTTTCTACTTTGATAGCGAAATCATAGATAACACGGGGTGCCGTTGGGTAGAGAGCTATACTGGGATCAATACCCCGCACCTCCACCAAAATGATACAGGGAAAAAGGGCGTCTGAGAAATATGTTTACTATGGATAAACAGGCAGGCACACAAGATGAAAACGCAGTATGCACGAGAGCTCAAACATCGTCTTATACCCTATCGAGTTCATCTGTGGCGCCACGTATAGCTATATCACTTTGAAAGGTAGATTGTATAGTGGCGACAGTCATGCTGAATGACTGCTCTCGAGACAGAATGAAGTCACGTTCAAACGTGAAAAGAAAAAAACATATTCGCGTCCAGTCAAAAACATACAAGCAATCGACTAAATGAAGAACGCGTCTCGTGCGATGGGCTCCTGTCGATCACCGCTGACGTAGCGGATATGACGTAGCTCCTGTATATGCGCTCGCGTGATACGTAAGCTTTTGTGGTTGAACGTATACGTGTAGTACAACATGACGGCTTCCACGCACATTTCAGTGTTACTTCACATTATTCATTGACGTCGGCCTCCCTGCCAGACCAAGACAGTATACCAGTGTGCGATGCTTTGATCACGTTCGCTGGGCGTCGTAAGATAACCTTTCCACGGTGTTAGTACTGCAACACGGCCGCCTAAATGAATTCGGCGCAGGTCATATGTGTACTGCACAGTACTTACGCATTGGAACGCGAAAATTTAGACGTAAGTAGTGGGCATTAAGGATCGCAGACTGGATTCTAAGAGAGACCAAGCGGATCAAAGAGAGACCGAAAGTTAGGTGGGCAAATGAGCCTACTCAATGCGAGGTTTAACGTCCCAAAAAACCATACGATTACGAGAGACGCCGTAGTGGAGGGCTCCGGAAATTTCGACCACCTGGGTTTCTTTAACGTGCACGCAAATCTGAGCACACGGGCCTACAACATTGCGCCTCCATCGGAAATGCAGCCGCCGCAGATGGGATCACATCCAGCGACCTGCAGGTCAGCAGCCGAGTACCTTAGCCACTAGACCACCGCGGCTGGGCGGCAAATGAGATTAAGAAGTGTGTGGGTGTAAAGTGGCAGCAGCAAGCACAGGACCGAGTCGACTGTCCAAACAAAACATGGGAGATGCCTTTGTCCAGTAGTAGGCGTAGTCAGATTGATGATGATGCTGATTATCATGAGTGCGCATGCCTTCGTTTCCAGTGTTTAAAGGTCGCGGCTTATCGACCTAGTTTCGACTCTGGCACTTACACGAGGGCCAAAGTTGCCTTTAGCGGCTGGATTTGAAGCGACATGACGCAGTTACCACGAGTAGTTCTTATACCAACGAAAAACGATGTGTGCATTTCAATCCACGAACACTGTACACACGTTGTCAATAGCGGGGACGTGCACAAAGAAGAAGGCCTGCATATGCAAGTGGCACGCTCTAGAGCGGGGCATTTACACATGCCTGCAGACCTGTATAAATGCCGGCAAACCCTTGTTCAAGTGCTGACCTTTGGCGAGTCCCGTGCAGCGTTGCTTGACGAGTCGGATGAGCTCTCCCTCGCGGAAGCTGAGCAGCGTCGACTCGGTGGTCACGTAGTCGGCCACGGCTTGCACGTACTCCGGCACTTCCTGCGAAACGGAACGGCCATCCGAACGACGTAATCAGCGAGCGCGCTCGTTTCGCACGCACGAGCAAACGAAAGGAACCGCGTCGGCTGCCGCCCGCCTGCCGGAACGACCGCGCTGCCGATAGTGACGACACCTGGCGGCCCGACGCGAAGACACAACGAGCGCACCTGGCGGCCGCCCGACGCGGCTAGAGTCGTGAAGTCACGTGACGCCGACCACGGCGAAACCCGCTCTCTGTTTTACGCGTTATCTGAATGCGCCGGACAAATTCAGAGGGTCCCTACAGAAAGCCACTTTTAAGGGCTTGCTTTTCGGTGCTGGACGCAACGTGTTTCATTGTTATTGCAACATTGATGTGAATGACGAGGTAACTTACGGAACCTCGTCCCACCCATATTAACTGTCGGAGGCGCGAAATCTGCCCCAAACTTTTTACTCAGTCGAACTTGGCTCGTCATTGTTCAATGGGATGCAGAGTGTAACCACGCAGCTTTTCTTTCTTTTTACGACAGTAACTTCTCAGGATCCCTGCTCTTGCATCCAAATAACTGTTTACTTTCAACACTTACACCCGGATTTCTCGAAGTTTTGAAAATCGACGTCAAATTTTTTTTTTCATGTTTTTCGCTCTGCGGATTTTTGTAATGCCAAGTGAAAGGGGTAGGAGCCTCGACAAGCTGCTAACATAGCAGCTTTTTGCTCTTATCTTTGCGTTTTCTTTTTCGCAACTCTGTGAAGAAAATGCTCAATAAAACTGAAACTGAAAGCGGCCCTCTCAAGGCAAGCCGTTGGAGCACGTCAACGCATCATTTTTTTTATTTCTGTATACATTTTAAAGCTTGCTTCCTTGTTGATTCGAGGCTTCGCCTTGCCTAATCCAGATCCCTGCCTGTGGCTTGTTCACAGAAGCCTTCCCAGCAAGCACACTGTAAACGTGTATCTTGCGTAGCTTGCTCAGTCACGTAACGAGAAATAGGTTAACCGTACGCAGATGCCGAAAGTTGAGAAACGTTTGAGGTAATGATGTAAAAAAAGTAACAAAATGTTAAAGAGGGAAGAGTTCCGTTGCTTACGAAGCATCAAGTCGCGCAGAGCGGGTAGATACACATGCGATCCGCAACCTCCTCCTCCTCGTACAGTACATCGGCAAAATGCTGAAGTGTACGCATGCGCACGGCAAACCTATATAGCTGTCAACGAAGTCCGTATTTATGCACGTGACGAGACAAATCTTTCCACACGCGCGACGTGTTTGAAGGCGAGCGGAAACTGCACGCTGGAATGGTCGAGACGTGCCTCACTTTTACTGACTTGCTTAAGCCTTGGATTATCTGAAAATTCACGCGCGTAGTTCCCGCGCCGCGACGTTTTTGCTTGTCGCACTACAATGTTGCGAACACCGGCCGCTGGGAGGCGAAGAAACCGAAATGCCCCTACAAAAGGTAAGAGCCCAAGGTTCAAAGACCTTGGGCTGTTACCCTTTCACTCTATAAAAATGATGAATCGCAGTTGTGCATGTATCAATGGCTGTATTATAAATTGAAGTCCCTGACATAATAAGGATACAGCCTCTGTTTGACACATACGGTGCTTGGTGAATCGAAAGCTGATGTGACAGTTTGTAGCTACTGACGGCAACAAGAGTTCACACGACGCAAGACTTGCCACGAAGGTGTAGGTCCACTTACTCTGAAAGCTTAACCTCTAATGGTTGTTTCAGCCCATAGCGCTTTTTCTACCAGCATGGTTATTGATTATATTATGAATGTCATGATTTGACAGACCATAATTTTATCTCTCTCTCTCTCTCTCTCTCACACACAAACACACACACACACACACACACACACACACACACACACACACACACACACACACACACACACACACACACACACACACACACACGTCCATGATCCCCGTTGAAGACACGGGGCACGCGGCTAAAAGCAACGTTACTTGGACTAAACCTAAGTCAGCCTCACCGCAATGTCGGCCTATAAATCTGTGCGCTCACGACTGTTGCGCACTCTAGAGCACATTATTCTACCCCAATCATGATACTATGGGCGTTTTACCCGTTTGTTGCATTACCTGCAAAGTTGGAAGCAAGTATATGCTGGCTCATTACCGTTACTTTGTTTTTCAATAAAGAGCATCGTATGGATCTTTCTCTGTCTCCTTCCCTGGTCAATTACAGCTGGAAGCAGTTTAATTGTATCTGACGAATAGCTTGGTTACGCTGATTTTCAGTACGAAGCCCCACATACCATGTAACTCACGAACTGTACAATACTTGATATTCTGTTCAAAAATTTTTCAAGTTTTCTATATATATTTTTATCTTGCTACTCCAAATTGATGGTGACTGTGACACGCTATTTTAAAACGTACGTTTCTGCGTCTGTTATACTTCTTCAACTTGATTTTGTGTCCCCTCATTCAAAATGGGAAAGGAAATTGGTATTTTTGTTCCACTTCGCCTGAGCAAATGTTTAGGTGGAGGGACCTTAGTCAGGCAGAGGTAATTTGCCTTTAGTCTCTTCAACCTAGGAAATCTTTCTGCCTGAATAAACAGTGAATGAATGAATGAACTGTTTAGTACTGACTATGGAAGGAAATACATTTTCGACGTGCGCATAATTTCTAGAATCCACGCTGTAAAATATACACAAAAGATTGATAGTAATTTACACCGCGCTAAAAAAACTCACACTATTTGGGACTCACCTGTGTGCCTTCCATGACGAAGCGACGCACCAGTGCTTGAATGTGGCCGGCCTTGAAGAACACGAGTGGAGGAGAGCAAATGTGAAATTAATGTAAAAAGACTCGATGTATTGAGGCTGAATGAAGACAATATGACATTTCTTGTAGCTCATTTGAGAGCACTAGCTATCACTTCGAGCAAATTCAACTAAAGGTTCAATGTCAAAGACAAAATCAAAAGTAGGGATGCCAATAAATCACAATTATGTGCCGCAATACTTTAGTTTATTGCAAACAATCTGTCACTGTAACTTGGTCGTAAGAATAGGCTGTATGAAGCTAAGTGAATTTTCCTAAGAGCAATCCGTGATCCTGAGAAAACCATTTCTCGATATTCAAGCAATCACAGGTCCACTGGACGGCTTTCAGCTCTTTCATAGTAGAGTACCTCGTACTCTAAATCGTTAACCACTCTTTCTAAACACATAAGTAGGCGTAACCGGTGCACGTGGGACGGCTTTCAGCTGATCTCCCATAGTATAGTTCCAAACACTGTAATCGTTAACCACTTCTTCTAAACACACTGCGTCCACAACCGTTCTAGATTTGGTATTCCTCCAGTCTACAGAACCTCGAATTCCCCGCGTCCAGTGGTCATTCCCGTGGAACCGTAGGCCGAGCCCTCGCCAGACAAGGCGCCTCTCGATGAAGGCGTCTCAGACCGGAGATGTTACATTTGACGCTCATTGCATGGTTGCCCAGTCGACCGCAAGTGTAGATGTCATCTAGGAGACTCCAATCCACGACGACGACGCCTGCATCTACGAGAGCTCGAACAGAACCACGAGTGGGACGCCCCTACAAATTCACGAAGACACCACCCCCAGCAACATAGGCCAGGACAGTACGCCTTTGTACCGTCCTCGCCCAAGAACGCGGGAACCAAGCGCCACCGAATATCCTCTAGTGACTCAGAAGCCCCCAGCAGAGACAGAAGTCCACTGCGGACTTCGATGCAGCCCCTGAAGTCTCGAGCTTCTGTGGAATCGCCTGGTTGTAAAAAAAATTACTCAGACGCCTGCAGGGTACTCGTTCCCGCGCCTGCTAGAGGTACCTCTGCTTCTCCGTGATATTATTATATTGCGTTTTACTTTACCTCGTGGCTCTAACTCTAAAATTTATTACTTTTAACGTTCATAGTTTCCGTAATCCACAAAAACAGGCTGAGGTATTGTCGATAGTTATAGCACGAGAACAAAACGACGACACAGAGACAAGAAGGACACGAAAGACACGAGCGCTCGTGTCTTTCGTGTCCTTCTTGTCTCTGTGTCGTCGTTTTGTTCTCGCGCTATAACTATCGTCATGTTATACCAACTAGCCCAAGCTGCCACACTGAGGTATTGTGCCTCCCGCGTTCATAGCACTGTGATTTGCCGTTCGTGCAAGAAATAAGTTTTTTTAATGATTTCTGATGTACTCGCTATTAAGCGTGCATTCCATATTGATTTGTTTATTTTCGTACGCCAGCAAGCGTTCGACAGGCGTCGGAGTCAATATCTTTAACCGAAGTCTATTGCGTGACCATCCTGTTTCCTTCGATTCCTTCGGACGCCTCCTGGCAATCCTGAAACGAAGAGCACAGCTGCACCTCTAGCGGGGAGCAATGAGCACTAGCGTGTACACACCGGCGCAATGAGTGGGGCGAAAGCGTCCGTCCGTCCATCTAGCGAAGACTCCGAATACTGCCGTTTCGCATCTTTTCATCATATATTTATCATACACTTGTTTCACAAGCTGTTTCATCACACATCGCTGCGGGACGGTCTTATCTTGCCTCCTAGTTATATCTCACCCCGGCTGGATCATTCCCATAAGGTCGGGTTGCCTTATTGCAGGACTCGCGCCTTTTCACAGTCTTTCATACCTCGCACCTCTGAGGACTGGAACCGGCTTCCCGCATCAGCGGCAACCATTGTAAATCACCTTCATTTCAAAAGTGTCTTAGCTAATTATGTGTAATTACAGCCAACAAAGTATTGTATTACCCGATGCTGTGTTGTTCCTGTACAGTATTTATTTTCTTGTCGTTTTTCCTGTCTTGATGTAATTCTCATCATTCCCGCGTTTTTGTTTGCTATAAAGCCTGTTAGCTAACCTGTATAATTAAGATCTTCTGCTCGATGTAAGATTCGCCGCTGCGTTTGTAAAAATTTTTGTCTTTTCTTTCGCAACCACTCCCCTCTGTAATGCCGTTTGGCCCTGAGGGTATTGCAAATAAATAAATAAATAAATAAATAAATACAGAAGTACCACCATCTAGCGGCCATTCCAAGGACTAAACGAGAGGTGACTACTTACTACTGCTACTACTACCCCCATTACTACTACTACTACTACTACTACTACTACTACTACTACTACTACTACTACTATAGTACTACTACTATATACACCGGGGACGCACGATCCACGGCTCAAGGAGCTTCGCCCTTAAAAATGCTCGGCATCACCTTTCCGCTTGCGACTCCTAGTTCTCCACTGCGCTAGCCCCGCGAAAAATAGTGGCCGGCCAACAGCGCATACACACGACGCAGGTTGAGCTTCTCTCCAGTCGGGCAGTGGCGTTCGATACTCCAACATGCCGCGAGCAGGCGACCTTATCACAAGTTCAGCGTCCATTCAGAGACAGCTCTCCTGGCTGTCACAGCGCTTTCTCTGATTCCGCTCTCGCCGTTAAATAGTACAGCTACCACAAGCATCTATGACTGCAATGGCTTGTTTGGTGGCATTGGAAATACCTTGGGTGAATAGATCGTCATCCAGCCTCCGTGCCTGAGAAGTAGCTGCAGCGTCCTGGGCCTGGTGGCACTGACGTCGGCGATGTCTTCAAATCTAAAATGGGCAACCAATAATAATAAAAAACGATAGCGTCGTTTTTCTCGCCTTTTTTTTTTTTTGGTTGCAAGCTCTTCAAGTATGGTGGGCGCAAAGTTGGGCTTGTTTTTGAAATGGTTTTACGGAGCTAAAAACACGGAGAGCAGGGAACTGAAATTCCCTTCAGTAAAACCAGAGGAATGATAAAATGACGATGTTTTTTTTAAAATCGTAATTACCCTTACAACAGAGTGACTTCTTTCAGGAGTGTAACCAGGGGAGGGGGGAGAGTTGAATACCGCCGCCCCCCTAAAATTTTTCAATTTTCCATGCGTATAATGTACACGCACACATAAAAGCACTCGTACGAACATACATAAAGTAAGGTTGACGATTTGATTGATATGTGGGTTTTAACGTCCCAAAACCACCATATGATTATGAGAGACGCCGTAGTGGAGGGCTCCGAAAATTTCGACCACCTGGGGCTCTTGAACGTGCACCCAAATCGGAGCACACGGGACTACAACATTTCCGCCTCCATCGGAAGTGCAGCCGCCGCAGCCGGGATTCGAACCGGCGACCTGCGGGTCAGCAGCCGAGTACCTTAGCCACTAGACCACCGCGGAGGGGCTCACACTTGCGGTGCCAAGCTTCAAAGAAGAGCAGAGTTGAGAGGCCTACTTTGTTTATTTTTTTCCCTTTCTCTCAGTTTATCCTACTTGTAAGAAGATTCGTATCGTACCGTAAGAAGATTCGACTTGAAGGGGGGGGGGGGGGGTGTTGCAAGGTTGATGATGTTGATGATGATGACGACAGCTGAGACATTTATGCAAAAGAGTACTCTCCGGATCGAGACGTCGTCACTTACCTGACGGTCTCGAGCACTCGCAGCTGTCCCGGCGGGTCCCGCTTGACGAGTCGAAGTCCCGAGTGGGCCACAGCGACCAGGTGCACGTCGGGAAGCTGCCGGCCACCGGACGCCGGGAACATGCGGCTGAAGTAGAGCGGCAGGTCGCGTGCAGCTTCGACGACGCTGCGCTGCGTCTGCACGGGGGCTCGGGTCCGACTCTCCGGAGCGGGACTCACGCCGAGCGAGTCTGCGCACCAGGGAGTGTGGCCTTAGGCTTTTGGTAGTGGACTCAACGAATGAAATAAGACTGAATGAAAAACGACGTACTCTGTACTGACGGTTTGAAACGGATGGATGGATGGATGGCTGGATGGATGGATGGATGGATGGATGGATGGATGGATGGATGGATGGATGGATGGATGGATGGATGTGGCTGTACCCTTTAGATCGGGCGGCGGCTAACGCCACCTAGCCATAATACTTAGTGAACTAACCAATAGATTTATCTTTTTTTTTACTTTAGATAGTGAAGTTGAGGACTGCCACTTTGCAGTGAAGGGTTTAATTTTCACTCGTGCCTTGACTTTAGCTACCAGCCAGATAACCTTCTTCTAGTTAATTCTACCCACTTAAAAGTCTATTTTGCCCTCCCTGTCCCTAAAACCCAGTGCTTTGAAAAACTCTGCGCCATCATCCTGAACTATAGGGCGAAGCCCTTTACAGAACATTATCAAGTGTTCGGCAGTTTCTTCTTTCTTTCCACACGCACTGCATACCATGTCTACCACTTCGTATTTGGCCGGATATGTCTTGGTTCGCAATACTCCCTTCCTGGCCTCAAACAGTACAGAACTACCCCGAGTACGAGAACGCGTACGCTCAGGCAACGCCTTCTAGAAAAGCTATGCCTGGAACGTGGCTCTCTCTTCAATTGAGAGCTGGCTGCCAGCGCAAAATCTCGGAGGCCATGCCTCCTACCGCGTGTTGGGACCGTCCGCCGCGGGGGACCACTCGCCGCCGTACCGCTCTGTCACGTGACGTCACCATAGCGCTGTGTCACGTGGCATCACAGCTTCTCGGAGGCAACTGTGAGAGCATTGCTGCTATTGCTGCGTTCGCAGGGGGCGATCGCCAGAGGCGTTCGCCTCCGTGCCGGAGGGGAAGGGTGAAATCCGAGGGTAGGGCAGTGGTTTCGCGGCTCACGTTCCAGGCATAATTTTTCTAGGAGGCATTCAGGGATAAGTAATGCTCGTATTTTCGTTTCAAGAGACTACAGTTCGTGTCACACCAGTGCAATTTCGACTGGAACCCTTACATCAGCGCCATTATTCCTATAGCGACCAGATTTGCAGCTGTATGACACGGTTATCACTAGCAGCTTCTCATAGAACTCATTATACTAAAAAAAAAAAGTGGCGTCGCGTTCCAATCAGCGAGTACATTGCCGGTTTAACACTGCACGTAGGTAGCATTAGCCATGCTTAATCTAAACCTAATGTTTATTCATTCAAAATGAGGCGACCTTCCGAGGCAACAACCTGCCTGCAGTCGTCAATTATCAGAGAACAGTAGCCATGGCGAGGCAATAGCATAATATAACGTTAGCCAACACTACAGTAGGCGAGTACAGCTTTAGACAGCAGCAGCATTTCCTCCACCAAGACTGATGCACAGAAGGCTGCACGAATAAGCGTGCATTCTAAACTGTGACACCATGAAATGACTAAGGCCGGCAAATGACGTAAGTATAGAACACGGCTGCTAACAGGCTATATCAAAGCGATAGTGTCAAAGAGCTCGTTTGACAGAAATTCATGCGTAGGCGTCGTTGGTTGCGAGCGAAAAATCATCATTTTATGTGTGAGAAAAAAATCGAGAACGATTCAAATAAAATTATTTTAAAAAAATCCTGGATCCGAGTGGAAATCGAACCCTGGTCGTTCGCATGGCAAGCAGATGTTCTATCACCCAGCCACACGCTTGATTGTGAATACAGTGAAAAAAAAAACAAAAAAACTTCCTCTGCTTGAAAGTGCAGCGAATGTAACTTTCGCACTTCACAAACACATGCGTTCTGTACACATGCTTCACGACACGGAATGAAATAAGGCAGTAATAATGGGTGGTGCAAGCGCCGGCGGGCGTCAGAACACGTGATTATCATAACGACTTTATTGTTTAAAGCCGGTCACCCACTACATAAGGCACAAACGCTACTTTGCCTATTCATTAGGGCGACATATAGTGGGCGCATGGCAAGTTTGAAAAAAATTTCGCGCACTAAAAGTGTTTGAAGCACGCACTAAGAACGAGACATCGCACTCGCGTTCAAATTATAAAGGCGGAGCTTAAGGCCAAACCTCCAAAGCGCAAAAATGCACGCGAAAGCGACAAGCGACGCGACGTAGATCGGCTTCGCGCGATCAGTCGCTAGCGCAGGCAAACCTCATTCACACGACGGCTTCGGCGAGCGAATTCCACTGTGGCTGGCATGAGGCCGTCTACTCGCACCGAGAAAACCGCGTAGCAAGCGGTATGCAATTTAAAAATAAAATATATTGTTGTGTAATGAAACGGAAAGTGTTTATTAATGCCTTGCAGCACTTTTTATATGCACATGCGTAATAAACATTGCGTTATTTCTTGTTGCGCATACGTGACTAGGGCAGGGTCACGTGCACCTACGTAGTCTTTGTCTTTTCCGGTATTTCGCTATTGGCTGCTTGAGCCCAGCACTTCCGGGCGATGAGCGACGGTTTCCAAATCTGGAGAACCGAGCGATCGCGCGAAAACGAGCACGCGACACGTCGCGCGAACGCCCTGTTTCGTCGCTCGTAGCGTCGCTCGTCGCTGTCACGTGCATTTTCGCGCTTATGAGGTTTGGCCCTTATGTGTTCCTCCATGCTACATAACGGCGCAGAAGGGGCGAAAATTGCGCCAAGCATTCGCTTAGTTTGGGGAGGCCACTGCGACGGAATCTTCCCACTCCCCCGAGGGGGAACCCAGTGCACACACGCGTGCCTTACAGCAGCCACTAGTCGAATGAGGAAGGCAATAAAGAGTAGAAGAAAAGGCAGAGAGCAAAGAAAAAGGCCGAGAGGAAGACCAGCTCCCGAGCCTGCCGCGTTAGCGCAATGTCTTGAACAAGAGAAAATATGAGTGTAGAAGAAAAAAAAAGCAGGCTAGAATGTCGAGGGAGGATGGATTCGAGGATAAATAGCACGGAGGTCGTGTATTCGAATGATACAAAATAGAAACGGCAGGGCAATTGAGGTGAAAGAGAGAGGGATAGAAAGAAGGAATGAAAGGAGTTAACCATCTTGCTAGGAAGCGCAGCCACTATTACAAAGAACACACAACACAAGCGCAACTTAAGCGCTTGTGTTGTGTGTTCTTTGTAATAGTGGCTGCGCTTCCTAGCAAGATGGATCCTTACCAACTGGCCCGATACAATTGTTTATTGAAAGGAGTTAATACAGAATCTCTAGCGAAAACGTGTCCCTCAGCTCAGCTTGACGGCCCCTACGTGGGATTAGCCGGGTGGCGCGGGGTCTCCCCTGCGTCTTCTCAGGACCAAAATGAAGTTTTAATCAATCAATCAATCAATCAATCAATCAATCAATCAATCAATCAATCAATCAATCAATCAAACCCTGAGCGCGTGAACACAGACAGATCTTCCGCTGGCACCGCGACAGTGTGTCGGAAGGCACTTTTACGATGATATGCGTACAGATGTGCGAAGTTAGCTTAGATCGATTATAGTTAGCACTTTGAGAACAGTGGAGCAGCACTGCTGATACTATGAAAGACAAAACAACGCACGACACCTGCGTTGCTTTGTGTTAGATAGGCCCGTTTATTGAGCCGTCATTTAGTAGGAACATGATACGGCGGCGTCCGCGTCTCTATACGCAGCGTGCAAACCGTTATTGCTTGTGTGGCGATCTCCGGGATCTGTGTCTGTAGAAGGTTGCGGGCGCTACCGCGTCCAGGTCTTCCGAAACGGGTAGCGTTTCGGCAAGAAAACGTACGTAGTTCTGTAGGACGAGCGTTCGCAAAAAAAAAAAAAACAAAAAAAAAACGCGCAAAGCAACCATATGACCACAGCTTCCAGAAAAGGTCTAATTTACAGCCTTGGTGTTGATTTAAAAGGAAACTGAAGAGAAACGATGAGTTGTTCTAGATTGATAAAATGCACTCTGGGAACTCCACTGTCATACATTTCACTGCCATAAGTTCATTGCTAGCAGAGAGAACTCGAGGTTGAAGCTTCATTTTTTTGAATATCGCGCTGTAATCTCCGCGCGTGACGTAAGAAATTCCACAATCTATTTTTCTCAATTTCGTGACATTGGCTCGATGAAATTTTTTTATTGCGATAGAAGTCATATGGGCAGTCTCAGCTGGTTTCTGCCGCCACCGCCGCCCCCGTCATTTATATATATATATATATATATATATATATATATATATATATATATATATATATATATATATATATATATATATGTATATATATATATATATATTATATATATATATATATATATATATACACGAAGAAGATGCGCTATTCTCCTCTTTCTATGGAGGGAACATCACCTTTCCGGCCGGGGTCGTCTGCGCGCACGCTTATCTCTTGCGCGAACTAGTAGGAGGGAGGAGGTGGGGCGCTTATGGTTGCCGCGCCATCTGAAAACTCAAGAAAGAAAAAAATTGGCCCGAATCTACATGTTACACTGTAAATGTTGTCGAAAGAGGACAGTCTTGCGTCTGGAGAGAGTGAACAAAACGATTATTTGATGTTCTGCGCAAGAAAATCGGTGAATGGTATTCTGAAGACGCTGCGTTAGAGTTCCTCGAGCGTGTAGCGGAGGCGAACAAGCGCATCTATGCACGTTAGACACGAGCGCCATCTGGCAGTTATCTTCGAGAACGAAGGTGGCCGCGGAGAAAGATGCGCACCAGTCATGGAGGTGATAAGGTGTAGAACGCAAAGCGACGGGCAGGTGCCGCCACCGCGTCGTCGTAGCAAAGCGTTGGAAACATCCTCTCGAGCATCGCGTTAAACGCTACAGTCCTTAGAGTTACTTGTGTGTGCCTCTTCTAGTATAAAGGCAGACATGCAAAATATAGACATGTTGTTACGGCGCCTCAGATATGCGCAATATTTGCTTTTTTTAATTGCCAAACGCACAACCATGAACGCTAAACCTTGAGAAATATTGGTGGGCGCTGCGGATGGGCTTGTCCGTTTGATGCCGTTTGAGATATGGTTAGGTGGACAAACAGACAAATGTACAGACAGACAGACCAAAATTTTTCCGTCCAAGGTGCCCAAGAAAGACTATCGTCTTTAAAAGCCACCCGCACTCGGCACCCAGCTCATCGCGATGCGCCACCACGCCCTTATCTCCCGCGCGTACTTTGCCTCGTGGATGGGCGCGGGGGGTTAGGTGCTCGGGCGCGCGCGCTTATGCATCGGTGGCGAGAATCGTGCGCCTTCGGCTTTCACCGAAAAGATTGCCTTTAGTTGCCATATCACTTCACTCGCTGCACAGGCCTCGTTTGCGAAAACAGCGCGCTTTTCAGACACAGCGAAGTAACAACTGGGACACTCGTTCGCTCTCATTTCTGTACCTGTGATTACGTTTCGTGCGTCGTTTTTTGTTTAAACAGCGCAATAAGCATCGAGTTGTAAACGTTGTTAGTTAGCTCTCATCCCGTGTGTGTTGTTTTCGTGCGTCATTTGTGCGTGAGCAGCGCGCTGCACGTTTCGATCTGCTAGCCATGCCCGGCATTACATTCCAACGGTTGTTGCTATCGCATTCATTGCTTCTCCCTCGCGGTGAAACTCTGACATTTTTTTTTTTTGCATTGAAATCACAAATAGTACGCTGTATTTTGTTGGCGTTCAAAGTACGCGATGTTCTGCGGAAGTTGTGAAAAGCAAAATGCCTCATTATATCGAGCGTTTACTTATATCTAATATCGATATATGAAATGTGGCTGTATTATGAAAGGGTAGAGTTCACTGTCTCTCACCGCATAGCGCCCGTAGCCTGGCCGCTTCGTCCTCGCGCAACCTTATGCAGGTCGGGCCGAACGCGTCGGCGACCACTTGACAAAAGACCAGATGCAGTGCCTGAGGTTCCTGTAGCTGCTCGCCGGGCTGGAACACCTGCGTCGGGGGCGATGTGAAAATTTCGTGGACAAGTCAGTCACTGCATTGCAATACATGCATGTCTTCATTATGTCTTCATCATTATATTGATATCGGATGAAGAGAGATGTTGCTGTCATAAGAGTGGATAGCAGACACTATTGCGTGGCACACTCTATAGTTCAGTGAGCATATGTCAACATTAGCCATGACATATCCAACGCTAGCCATGATTGTCAAGTTGGCAAATACAGCTGGTGCTGGGTCGAAATTTCGGACACTCAGGTGCCTCCATAGTGTCCAATTTCCTGACGGCGGCTTCTTCAGTAAATCAGAGTTGACAAGATTGCAGACGTGAAGATTCGACAGCCTCCAGAATAGCCATTGTGATCACCATAAAATAAAACATCATGCACCTTTGCAGACATGGCGAAAGGGGGCGTAATGGAACATTATGTCCTCGAAAAAAAGAGGAGAGCTCGCCACAAGAACGTAAACAAATTACGGATGACGCAGGGTCTCCGATATGCACGTACCTCCTTGCGTATCCTGATTCTCCACTCGACCTTGGTGTAGGTAATGTAGGGGGCGCTACTGGGCGGGTACAGGCGAGTCTTCAGATTGTCTCTGGCACGCACCACTGGAGCTGGAGGAGGCGCCTCGTCTACGGGCTGCAGGAACTCGGCGCAGTCCTCGACTGGAACCAGAGCAAGAAAGAAAAAAGAGGCATCAAGGTGATCATACTTAGGTATACGTCACCAACCTGCCATCGAGTCGCGGTTATTATATAACGGTGGCATGTGAATTGCTTTCCTTCGCGATTCGTCACTGGTTCGACCGACGCTCCGCCCTTGTGTTGTTATCCCGACCGACCAGTTCTTTCGCTTCAGTCGCAGTGGGTTTGAGTACTTTAAATCTTTAAAGCACCAAAGTCGCCAGAAAAATCAAAACAACGTTTATCGAATTTCACCTTCTTTAAGTATCTAAGATCGATATATTTCGTACTGTAGCGCGCGCTTTGTCAAGCAGGTGTTTATGGGATCGTAGAGTCAAAGAAATCAAGCGAACAGCCATGGTCCAGGAACACACTGAGAAGCTTCAGGGAGACACAAGCTCACGCTTGGTGCAGTTGCAACAGGCCATTGCGCGCAAAACTGGACGGACGTTAAGGCATGCCTTAGGACGTGCTCCTTCGTTAATTGTATTTCAGCTGAATTCAAACTCTTTCAGCGCTGATCTGACGGAATCCGCAGAAGCTGTCGAGGGTCAAGCCCCCACAAAGGTTTGAGTGTTGCGGTTGGTCCCTCCATCGCGCAAATTCTCCAAGTATATTTATTTCTCAGTTTAAACTGCCCAATGCTCGTAAACCATTCTCAAAGCGCTGTCCCATCTACTCATATCTCTATTAACAGCCACTCCGTCACGCACACTCGATGGACTCAGCCGTTTTGCTGTCCGCATCGTAGACCAGCTTCTCGAAATCTACGAGTGAATCACGGTTTACGAAAATTTCCCGTTGTATAATCAAGGTTAATTAGCTTGTACGGTACACTCGGGGCTGCTGTTTGCGAGATACATTCAATATATGCCCTCGATTTTTCAGCCTTTCATGCCGTAGACAACTGTTCTAAATGTCTCTGTCACGGCTCTCTAAACCTCTCTAGTATATACTAAAACTTCATTATAACAAAGTTACATCTTGCACGAAAATGAGTTCACTATAAACGAAAATTTGTTATAAAAGTATATGCCTAACACCATATTTATTGCAAGAATATTCTTCATTTACTTCGATATAACAGATATCTTGTTATATCCGGGTTCGTTATATAGAGTTTTTGGTGTATCAGCTTGGGCAACACCACGCGGGGTACCCGCAATAATAGCCGCTAGGTCACTCACACTCGATGGCCTCAACCTCTCTAACATATACTTAAACTTCATTACAACAAAGTTACATCTTCCACAAAAATGAGTTCATTATATCCGAAAATTTGTTATAAAAATATATGCCTAACACTGTATATTGCAAGAATATTCTTCATTTACTTCGATATAACAGATATTATGTTATATCCGGGTTCGTTATTTCGAGTTCTTGGTGTATCAGCTTGGGCAACACCACGCGGGGATACCCGCAATGCTAGCCGCTAGGTGACTCACACTCGATGGCCTCAGCCTTGCTGCTGCCCTCAAGCAGCTTCTCCGGGTGCAGAGCCACCGGGTGTCGTGGCTCGCGGTGCCGAGGCACCACCGGTGTAGTGGGCATGCACACGCTACTCGACGCGGCCACCGACGATGTACCCGACTGACCGGATCCACCTCGCGGTGGAAGTTGCTGCTGTTGAAGGATCGACTGGTGTTGCTGCTGCTGCTGCTGCTGCTGATGTTGAGGCGGCGGAGGCGGCGGACCCAAGCCGGCTCGGTCGGAAGCCCGCGGAGGTCGCGAGGACGCCATGTCCCGCATCGGAGCCTGCGAGGAGGACACCAGGAGACCAAGCGCGCGATTGAGCGGACGGCTGGGCAAGTGGCTGGTTCGGGATCCCGGTATAACGCGCGCAGAACAGGACAGGGACTTTCTCAACGCCCACGTTTTGTTCTGCGCAATATGCTAGGAATAAGTTTAACGGTTTGAGAGGGTGAGCCACTTCGGGTCTCTGTATTCGCACTGCACTGCGTTTCTAGAATTTTCTTGAACATTACTAGGGATGACGATACTTATAGCGTATGAGAACAAAACGACGACACAGAGACAAGAAGGTCCTTCTTGTCTCTGTGTCGTCGTTTTGTTCTTGCGCTATAACTATCGTCGTGCCATACCAACTAGCCCAAGCTGCCACACTTCTAAATTACTAGGGAGCTCAAGTGTCTTTCGCACGCTCCACTATTTCACACGCCTACTGTTGGAGGTCGCAAGTGAGAGCCAATTAGGCAACAACTCGAAGCACATGGACACAGAGCATTGAAAATGAGTTTTTCCTTTTATAACCCTTCCCTCCACTTAGAGGAATTGTACAGAACTAGTTTACAATAGGGCAAGGGTATACACACGGAAAGGGACACGAACCTGCGACCTCCTCTCCATCTTCTGTATCTTGGCCTTGACCAGGTTGTCGAGGCGGAACGAGTGGGCCTCCTGAGGCGGCGTCCTGAAAGCCCAGCTGTCGCTCGAGGGCCAGCTTGCGTTCCTCGCGCAGCTTGCGGTTGTCGCCGCCCGGGGGCGTGGTGGGCGTCGGCGCCACGGGCAGCTCGTCCTCGCGCCGCCTCCTGCTGGAGGCCCGCGAGCGCACGCTGTGGTCCATGGTGAGCTGCTCGAGCTTGGCCTTCATCTCGGAGCTGATGCGCAGCTTGCCCACGCTGCCCGGACGGGTCTCGCCCTCGAACGCCCGGATGATGGGCTCCTCGTCTCCGCGAGTGCGGACGGACTCGGACTGCGTGCGGTCGCGTTTCAAACTCGAACAACGTGTCTTTGAATTTTGACGGTAGTGCGAGAAGAAGCGAAGCACCACAGGAAGAACAGCATCAACAACGGCATAAGACTACACGCGAGCAGGTTCAGCAAAGTGATTGACTCATAATCAAGCTTCAAGGCTCCACCACTAGACTGCGTAACAAAAGGGTTCTTGATCATTTTAAGAGAGATTTGAAAATATAAATTGTAGGGATTGAATGTAGGGATTATGAAATGTAGGGATTATGTCCCTACATTTCACGCCCCTTTCATTTTTAGTACGATCTAATCAAGCGTTATGGCCAGTTGTCGGTTTGATATCACGCGAAAGACGACGGGCACAGGAAGGAGGGTACAAGAGATACCGTGCGCAATAGTGTCAGGCTACGAGATGCGCTAACTGCAGAGGCGGCAAGTGCTGACCTTGGGCGATCCAGCCTCGGTGCCGTTGGCGTCCATGTCCTGTATCTCGGGAAAGTCGACGAGGTCCTCGTCTTCGTCGTCCAGGTCGTCGAGATCATCCAAATCGTCGCTGCTGGAGTCGTCCTGGAGGCCCGCGGCGCGCCGTTCTTCGCGTTCCTGGCGCCGAAGCCGCTTGAACTCGAGGAACGACGTGGGCTGGCCCGGCAGGCAGTTACCGGACTCATCGCGAGGTGGCGGCCAACGCCACTTGCCGATGCGGACCGTTTTGGCCCGCCCGTAAACATCTGCAGGGCGAATGAGACATCAAAAGGGAGTTATGATTTTAGGTCCTCTTTATAACGAATGGCGAGCTACTATAACAAAACAATCCAATTATTCTTACGTGGCTATGCCAATAGAGAGCTGTAGAATCCAAGTGCTCTAGAAAACGAACTATTCGGGCCTATATACTACCGAGCTTCGGTCGGTAGTAAACACTGATTGAAAACTGACACGGAACTTCAAGAAGTGACTGACAGTCCCGTGGCCACTGACCTTGGTACTTGGCCATGGTTGTTGGTGACATTGGCGGAAGTGGTGGTGGTGGCGGAGGGGGTGGCGGCGGTGGAGGAGGAGCGCCCGACGAAAGTCCACCGCCGGGGGCGCACCACCGTCAGCTTTAAACCGCAGTTCGCTGAGAACGCTGCCGAAGGCGTCCCTGGGAGAAGCCCTGGTCGCCGCCGTCGCTCCTGCGGCATGTGACGTGTGCGCTGCTGACGCCGTTGTAGACGTCGCCGTTGCCGCGGGCGCTAGAAGTCGCTGTTGCGCGACCGTGGCGGGGTCGATGGTCGGTATGGACAGCGACAGAGGAGTGAGACCGGCCATCGGCGAGCCCAGGATTTGTTGTTGTTGTTGCTGCTGCTGTTGGGTGGAGTCACTCGCGTTGGCGGCTCGGGCTAGGAGGCCGCCAGCTCCGCCGGTACCTTGAGGCGGAGACGCAGCTGGAACCTGCGTTGCAGTTATGATTGTAAGCACACCTTAGGGCGAAAGCCATTTATAAGGTCGAGAAAAGGAGGAGAGGGCGCAGCAATTTGTGTTGGTTCGACAATTGCTTGTATGTTCTCTGCCTATACGGATTTGAGGCGGGAGAGAATCAATACAATCGATTGGGATGTAAAAGATTGTCTTCGCCTGCAAATCTTCTAAGTAAATGAGTAAAGACCAGGTGAGTTTTTGCCGTGTAAGGGACCGCTGCAACACTTAATACGCAAGCGGCGTAGGCACCAGTGACATGCATTTACCTGTATACCGGGTGGTAGTGGCCTTTGAATTAGAACGTGTCTTTAAGAAAGCACCAGCTACGTCTAGCAACAACTCTTTCAGTTGTCTCAGCGACGTGGGCTGGAAATCGTCGACGCAAGTCACTGACGCCAAATCGCCATGAATTTTCTCTTGATGCAAATTGACACATGAGTGATCGTTCAGAAGTGGCCTTCGACCGGCAACAGAGATAAATTGACTGATATAAAAAGCACCAGCTGTAATTGTCTGGTACCTGTTACCTAACACACTCACATGAGCTCGCATGGACGAGTGCAACGCGTCTTTGGAAGCCAACTGCAAGTGGCCCGTGGCTCGCTATGGAAAGTTGAGACTCGTTAAGTACGCATGATTGAGACGGGCTGAGCAATAAGATACTCGTTGCGTTTTGACCTCCACATCGACACGCCCACAGCCAGCGCTTGTACACCAAACAATAAAGCGCTGAGAACAATGTAGGCTTCTGCATCCATGGGCGTGCCTGTTTATTCTTTTATGGCGTAAAGCCTGGGAGCTATCCCGAATCAGTCGGCGGCTAGTTCAGACGCTTTCAAGAGACGTAATTCAGTGTTTGCAACATTTTTTCCAACAGAAGCTTCTTTGGTTGTACTTCAGCGGGATTGGGTGCCAGTAGTTCGAGGTTCTCATGGCGTGCAGTCTTTGCGCGGTTAGCTTAATCATCTGTGAAAATTAATCTCGGATTGAATTTAAATGAACTAATACTGTAGCAAATAGGCAGAAAAAGCATTCATCTATTGTTGGCTTCATTATCATAATAGATTACATTAGAGTTATATTGATTTAATCCGCGTATAACCATTTAAGAAACCTGCCTCGAACTTGATCGTCAGCTTCAATTCCTGTTTGCTCGTCGCCGCTGACGTACTTATAGCAACGAAAAGCCCGTTCTCGTAAGTCAAACGACAATGAAGTTGAATTCCGGGTAAGGCGGAAGTTCAGGGAGATAGGAAACCTTTGAGCTGTGAAATCTTATAGCCCGAAATGTCATTGCAGCATACGTTTTACAAGTGCACTTGTCTTTCAAGACTGCAACTACCTACCCTTTTAGCGTGTGTATCTGCCTACTTCATGCCGCCCCCCCCCCCTCTTACCCGATCGCCCAATTTTGTATGGGAGGGAGGACTGGTTAGAAAGTATCCACACACACACACACACGCACACACACACGTGTGTGTACACAAACACACACACACACACGTGTGTGTGTGTGCTTGTGTACACACGTGTGTGTGTGCGTGTGTGTGCGTGTGTGTGTGTGTGTGTGTGTGTGTGTGTGTGTGTGTGTGTGTGTGTGTGTGTGTGTGTGTGTGTGTGTGTGTGTGTGTGTGTGTGTGTGTGTGGTGTGTGTGTGTGTGTGTGTGTGAACTCCGAGGATAGTGTGGCCTTTCCTTGGTTGGTTCCTCAGGCGGCCCTTTTATTTGACCCTCGTGACAATGCACGGGGGCAACCCGTCTGCTTCCGGCGGCACTCCTTCTCTGTCTTTTCTTTTTCTTTCTTCTTTTCTTTCTTTTTTTTCCTTACTGACGAACATTACAGAAAAGCAACAGTCACTGCCGCTTCCTTCGCTAGTTCGTTGTGTGATTTTTGCTGTTCTTTCTTTCTTTTTTTGTGGCCCCCAAATTGGTCCAACTGCCCTCCGCTACGGGATGTGCTATTTCACTTACGTCCTCCGAAGAAGGCTGGGCCGCTAGCCGAAATGATTAGGAGAAAACAGATATTTGTTTTGTTTCTTATGTAGCAATACTCCAGAAGTTTCTAATTCTAGTTACGGTATATCCAGAAGAGGGTTTGTTCATTACCTTGTGCTCCGAGGGATTTCGTCGAATAGAGTTGAATCTAGCATAAGGTCGAGACCGTAACATAACTTTTTTCTCTTACGCTTGTCCCGATAACACGTCGACCGAGTGCGATCATTCTCAGCATTTTTAAAAATTTTCGTGACATCTTGTAAAGACGACATGTCGTGACAAGAGCCAACTTACCACAGATGACTGAAGCAGCTGCTGAAGCGCGGCACTCTGCTGCATCAGCTGCTGCTGTATTTGCAGGTTCTGCTGAACAGCGTTCGCGAGGAACGCTCGTTGCTGAAGCTGAAAAAAGAACGTAAGACATATCTCGATATACCTTGGGACCTGTGTCTACGAATGAAAAGCAAACAGAAATGTTTCAGTTTATGATGGTGCAAAGGCACCAACGGTTTAGCATGGCCATGCAATATTTTTCCCCCACAGGGTTTGCAGAGTATGGTCTCTTCCTTTCCAGTACACAGCATGGTGATTCAAGTATCCATCATCGAATAAACACGCTTTTTGATCGCTTTGTTTTCAGCATGGCTGATGAGGGCAGCACTCCAGGAGCAAATAGTCAGAGCGCTAATAGACCAAAAGGGTCTTTCTGCCGCGTATGAACTTGGTCTGACCGCACAGAGGCAATTTTCTCCCCTGTCTGTGGACATCTTAAAGGGCTCTTCACCAGGTCTGAGAATTTCGAGCAGGCAAGCGGGATGCACGGACTGAGTGCTCACGATCTCATCTGCCGAGATTTGCGATGCTGCGCGCCCCCAGAAAGAGGTGAAACGTCAGACTGAAACACCGCTTGACCTTCATCTCACGGGCGCGTTCGTAAGAACGGTCCAGCGTACGGCGAAGTAGCACGTGACACTGCGAGAATTATTCGTGGCGACGAGTGTCATTTGCGCAACCTGTTGCCTCAACCATGAAGTTTGCGTACAATTATTACACCATACAAACAAAATCTATGCGCGTTACTTTTTTTTTAACTTCGTATCGAGCGAGATTGATTGATTGATTTATGGGGTTTAACGTCCCAAAACCACCATTTGATTATGAGAGGCTCCGGAAATTTTGACCACCTGGGGTTCTTTAACGTGCACACAAATCTGAGTACACGGGCCTACAACATTTCCGCCTCCATCGGAAATGCAGCCGCCGCAGCCGGGAATCGAACCCGCGACCTGCGGGTCAGCAGCCGAGTACCTTAGCCACTAGACCACCGCGGCGGGGCTATCGACCGAGACAGGAAACTAATCTGCCTCCATTCCAGTTGCACTGATGTTCTCGCATCGCCCCGGTGGAAGCATCCAAAACGTTTGGCGTGTTTCTGATGCATCGTCCCTTAGAGCAATTTCAGCGGAGCGACACATTTGTATCGTGGTAAGAATACACGATCCATGCCAGCCTCTCCAGACGTGCGCATATACAGGGATCCATGCCGCAAAAAACAGGCATACAATACAGTGAACCTCGAAACGACACAACGCAACTGGCGTGCACAAGCTGCAGCATGGGCATGTCGTGCGAATATAAGCCTTGCGTGGCCACGGCGGTTTGTGCGTCGTGTGATCGTCCGGCCCCCGACTCGCTCCGATACCGAAGAGGGCCGGGAATGAATTCGGCTTAAGTCTACACTGGGTGAGCGGCTAAAGTTTCAAGCTCACCTCCTTGCATCGTGCTTTCGCTGCTCTTAATGAACTAATTTAAAAATTTTAGTGGTACAAAGCTTTTTCAATCAGCACACTACCAGTGTCTAAGTAAAATTTCTCATTTAATCTAGTGAACAACCTTCTAAGATCTAGTGAAGAACCTTCTAAGAAGCAGATGGCAAACAAAACCAAACCCACGTGGACATTTTTTTTTTATCTACACTCAGCTTTCCCCTCATGACACTCCACGGTTTCGCACTTGTTCTTCATTGTCCTGAGGCTCCCCGACAAAGCCCCTCGTGTTCCATACGTATGCGAGGAGATGCTGGAGGGACGCCGAGAAGGCAACGCGATGCGGACGAATACATGTGTAGAGGCTGATTGGCCACCATATTTGCCAGGCTTTGTAGGTTTGACAGTGCTGAAAGGAACTTGTGAGATGGAGTATAGGTTGCACTCCATAGAGTTTCGAAAGATAAATTTTGTTCGGTAACGTGAATAGCGGTTTTCAACTGTAAACAAAAGCGAAATTCGAGGTTAAATACATCCGGACTATCATCGCAGCTGCTAATCGTACTCTCGGCTTCCTAAAACGTCATCTGCGCAACGCACCCCGCCATGTGAAATTATTAGCATATCAGTCCCTCGTAAGAAGCAAGCTTGAATATGCATCGTCAATTTGGAGCCCACAACACGCGTACCTCATTACTGCACTCGAATCACTTCAAAACCGTGCTGCTAGATTCATTCATTCCTCATATGCCTATCACATTAGCGTGTCATCTTTAAAAGAAGAAATTGGCCTGTCCCCTCTATCTTCCCGCCGCCGCATTGCCACCCTTTGCTTGTTTCATAAACTTTTTCACAGTCCACTTGCAATCGAACCTTACATTTCCCCCCCATTTCGCAGGTCATATCGCATTGGCCATGGCTTTGGAGTTGCCCGTCAACGTTCCCGCACCGTTACTTTTGCTGCCTCATTTTTTCTTCGTGCAGCAAAAGACTGGAATGACCTCCCCCACCATATTGCAGCAATCACCTGTCCATCAACATATATGCATAGCGTCACAAGCCATTTTTCAAGCTAATTCATGGCTTTTTTTGTACGTTTTTTGTAACCCCACACCTTATGTATTGTCCCCCTGGGGACCTTTAAGGTAATAAAATGAAATGAAATGAAATGAAATAGCATTCATACGGGCGCCAATTCTGAAAATAGACTTCTAAATTCATTTATAGGGATTTAGGCACTAACGTCAAAAACGGGCATTGATGGTCACAATAAAAGCACTTCTTGGCATTTAATTCATGTTCATATATGAAACTGACACAATAGGAGCGCCAGAAACAAGATAGGCGTATGCCTATAATCCGGTCTCTTGTCATAAGTGACTGTAAGTTCGTCAGGGCTGAAATCAACATGCACAGATGGATTGTGAGAAGAGTTTCAAACCTGCATCATGTGCTGCTGCAGAACCTGCTGCTGGATCAGCTGAGACGCGTCCACAATCGGCACGGTCATGCCTGTTGACGTACAGAGACAAATGTTGGAACATTGAAATCAAAGGCGAAACCGTTTCCTCGGCCCAGTTTCCGAGTGAATTGCAGCGCCTACTCACCGGAAACGTTGTACAAGGGCAGGTTGTAGAGAGAGGCCGCATTTTGCTGAGCACCGGACCCACTGGCTGCGCTTCCTGCGCCGGAGCAGCGCAAACGAAAAGAAACGACCACGCCACAATCAGAAGAGACGCTCCCCATGATAAATCTCTTATCTTTCATCTCCCCCATCCCCCTTCCCACGCGCAGGGTAGCAAACCGCCTGCCTATAGACTGGCTAACCTCCCTGCCGTTCTTCTCCTCCTATTTTCCTTCCCCATTATCAAAATTAAGCAGTTAAGAGGATGACGCCACTTCAAGCAGTCGGCAAGGGCCTCGGTGGGAATAACGTGGAGCCTGGAATCAATTATCGACAATCTAGTCGCCAAAGGGAGTTACCAACAAAGACCCTGACCGGCTCTAAAGAGGCTAGGCAACTAAAGGAGCTAGAAGGACATGCTTCAGGTGCCGCCTCATATGGGGCCGGAGAATTACACAAGCGGATTAGAGTAGGCTACAGTTTTCTGTTTAACACGAGTATGTTTGCCCAGGATGCAATGCCATACAATGAGAAGCGTCAGTAGAGGTATAAAAGATCGCGCTGCCGACGTAAGCGTGAGCAAAAAAAATAGAAATAAAGAGTGTGGCCAGGTTCAGCACTACAGCTACTTTCTCAGTGGTAATCTGAAAAAAAAATCATCTAAGACAGTCGACCTATGCCAGTGGCTTATGACGGCTTTCGCGACAGTGGACATAGTGTACTTAGTGTACGCCTATAGTACAAAACGTTCGAGGTAATACAAAACAACGCAGCTAAGGACCGAACAGCGACCTACCGGCTGTCAGGGGACCCGTTGATGGGCTCTGCATGGCCTGGAATCCGATAAGGGGAGACACGAGTCCACTACCAAGCCCCAGGTTAGCACCCATAGTCAGTGCACCTCCTGCATTCTGGAAGAGTATTCAATACGGATAATGAGAACGAGTATAGAATAGAAGACGTCAGCGGGTTTAATGAGCCGCAGCTCCTACAACAGCGGTCAACGATTCAGCTGTACCTGTGCGTCCATAGACGGTCCGTCTCCCTTGAGAGCTCTGGTCAGTAGCACCGGGTCTTGAAGCGAACTCAGGCTGTCGTCATCGCCGTCCCACGCCGAGTCGTCTCCTCTGAGCGACGCCGCGAGCGACCTGGCGTCACTCAGTTCGTCGAGTCCTCCGTCCAGGAGCACCGGGTTGAACAGGTCGTCCAAGTACTGGTCCAGGTCGGACGTGTGCGACGGTATGCGCACGTTTCGAACGTGCGACGCCAACGAGGGGGCCTCGGACGTGTCCGACAACGCCGAGCTGCGAGCGCACTCCGACGATGACCCGGCGGCCGCCGCCGCGGCCGCGGCGCGACCGGCCAGCTGCGCCTTCGCCGTGTGCGAGTGAGGGCCCTTACGTCGTCCGGCTTGAACAGCCGAGCCACCGGAGTACTTGACGTATCGCGTCGCGTCCGTCGTCCCGCTTCTGGCATCGACTTGAGGGCTTTCGCTGCGGTCCGAACCGGGACGACCGTTCAGCGGCGAGTCGAGCATCAGCTCGCTCGCGGTTTCGGATGCCGACGGCGGCACCATGCTGCCTCCGGTACTCCGGGAGAAGTACCGGTCGTTCAGGACCGACGCCGAAAGGCCCCACGAGGTGCCTCCGTCGTCGTCGTCGTCGACTTCGTCGTGGTGGGAACGTCCAGAGGGTGTCGTCGCTAGCGTCACGCCAGTGGCGTCGTCCAGGTCCGGTCTGTGGTGAACGGTGGCCACGCATCGTTGCTGCCCGCCACCGGCAGAAGTCGCGGCAGACTCTGCTCGGGCCAACTCGAAGTAGCGGCCATTGAGGGCACTCCTCTTGGAGAGGGCGCTGTCCGGAGGTCCTTCGTCCAAAAGGTCTTCCATGGACCGAGAGCGGGCATGGGAGGAAGAGGCGACGGAGCGGTTGCCCAAGCGTGAATCGCGGCGGTCGAGGGAGCCGTCTGCACCGGCTGCGTGTAAAAGGAGATCAAACAAGTTCCATTATTTTTATGCGCTCTCCAAATAAATAATAGATACACGGAATTGATTTGTTGCGAACGAAAAATGAAAAAAAAAAGATTACAGGTCAGCCTCAAAGCTAATAAGGCCACTTAAACTGCCGACCTTAAATTAGGTAAAAGACATAGTGAAGTACGCGCACCAGGGGTCCTATTTCCCGATCCTAATTTTTGCTCTGCAGTTGAGAAGAAAGCAAGAAAGCAAGAAAGAACGTTACGTCCTTAAGCTATCCTCAGCAAGACAGCATCATATGACGCCGCCCCTTCCTACCGCTGTGCGGCGCTTCCTGCATAGGGTCTGAGGACCCGCGGCAGGCGCAGTCAAAGCTAGCCGACCAACAGCAGCACTTGCCCGTCACGTGACCAGGGCTATTTCTGCTTTAAACTTTTTTTGTGAGTATGCTTCAAGGTTTTAAGACGCTCTGTCCTAGCATTTTTGTCTCCCCACCAGTGCTCCACAAGACCACAGTTCTATCTGGTTGAATGGAACAACTTTGCTTCCAGATCCGGCCAGCCGCTAGTCTCGGCCACACCGCTCAGACGAAGTCCTGCTGAATAGCCGAGACTCTGCAGATAGGAGACGAGACGCGTGTTCCACCATCGCTTCCGCAAACATTATTCAGAGCCTGTTTGCCTATTTCGGTGCTCCCACAGCATGCGACGTAAGGAGGGGATGTCTATTCTACCATTGAGTCAGGGTAGAGTTCCAGGAACATCTTGCATAACTGAACAGGGTTGGCGTAAAAAGCGCTTAGCGATTCGCAACGCTCTGTCACCTGTTGCTCCTTTACTTTGAGTGAAGTGGAAAGAAAGTCCACCTCTAGTCGTGATGGTGCATCGCGTATTGCGGATAGCTGGTTAGTCGGCCTTTTATTAGTAGTTCCTTTCTCACCGGAGTGCCGAGGTTGGGACTCAACGGAGCGACGCGAGCGAACTCCATCCATGCGACCTCCAGCGCCAACAGCAGCCGCGGCAGCCGCTAGGAACAACGGGCGGTGGCACAGGTATGGGCTCCCTAGACCGGCTGGGTGCCTTGCGACTGGACACACGTACGGGAGGTGCGGGAGGCGGGCTGGCGACGTCCGCCGGGTCAACCTCGTACGTGTTCACCCGACTCGGGTGGTGAGGCCTGGGCCCGGCATGGAAGGAACGTCATTAAACAAAAATTGAACAGCAGGGAACGGAACAAATAATCACTGGGGTTTTTCGGTTATTAACCTCTGACAACAACGAATTACCATGTGCATACGTAATGGTACTCGGTCGAAGGCACCGGCTCCATTGGGCAGAACAAGACTATCGGGGATAATAATCCTAGAGGTCGAGTGAAAACCACATCGTCATGAAAGCTAGATTAACGAAATTAGCAATATATTTGTACGTCTGCGTTTATTAAGCTTCTTTTTTCTCGCCGCGCTAATGCGTCACGCCCCAAGGATGCCTGAAAGAGACCTGCGTGACATGGTGCTACGTCACTTCCATTACGGGGGCAACTCGGGTTTCGAGCTGTCTGCTAAGCCACCAAAAAGGCATTGCTAAACGAATTTGGCCACGCCTTCAGGAGGCGATGCTTGGTGCATTAGTGGGAGCATTGCTTGACTCGGGGATGCGATCGGGGGCCGTGATTCGACCATCAGTGCGGCGCTTCTCTGCCCTTTTTGTCTACGACGCTAGAGCCACAGTTGTTAACACGCACTCCAAGACAGTCACTGAAAATGGCTTGGCGCACTCACGACGTCTCCGGCACGGGCGTCGGACCACGGGGGTCGTGCGAAACGAGGAAGTACGACTTGCACACCGGGAACGCCGGCGGAAGCTCAGCCTCCGAGATCAAGTCCAGCACGTAGTCGGCGCCACACAGGCCATACGTGGTGGACTCGCCGTGCTCCAGGTCCACAGTCCAGCCGAACAGGTCGTCGATTCCACGCGCCTGGATCAGCGGCGCAGCGAACTCCTCACCCGTCGTCCACGAGTCCACGGCCACCATGGAAGGTTCCGAACCTGCATGTATATTTAAGGGGTAAAAAAAAAACCAATGGTTGCATATTGACATTGGAGGTTCGAAGGGCTCGGGAAAACTACATCGCTGTGGAGTCCGTAGAGCACATCTTGCTCGAGTACCCAGCAAATAAAAACGAGAAGCAACGATACGTACCAAGATAACCTCGAAAAACTTGGCCAAGGCCCCTCAATCTTAACACGGACACTGGGCCCCTGGACTTGCACTCGCAGCGCGACGAGCTCAGAATTTCTCGTTTACATATATTGAATCTATTGTCTCTAAATTGTGAGTTTCGAACCAAACAAAACTGATGTTGCACACCTTCAATCAACAAAGCGTGCGCTGCGCCCATCAGTTTTAGATGCGAAGCATCTTACGGTCGAGTTCAATCCGGTGTGCGCCGTGACCACACTCACTGCGCATGCGCGCCCCCTTTCCATTTCTCCTCTCCCACGCTCCTCCCTCTCTCGCCCCGCAACGCCGACGCAGGCAGCACCTGCTAGCCTACCTCACTCCCCCTCTCTCTTCTCTAGGCATCCCTCCCCGCGGCGTTTTAACGCCCCCATTGTACCAGCGCGACGCTCTCCCACTGTATCCTTTCCTATGCTCCACCCCTCTCTCGCCTCGCAACGTCGACGCAGGCAGCGTCTGCTGGCGAGTTTCTTGATTCAAATAGCCGAGTGCTCGCGCTGCACAACCGTTCACTGGCCGCCCCGCATATTAGGCACTGGATCTTGACCTAGGGCCAGTGGGAATATTTCCACTGTGCGTTGTTGAACAACTAAAGTTCGCAGCGTGCGCGTGAACTAAAAGCGGACTGTGGGTCTGTATGTCCAGAGTTTACAGAATCTCATTGCCCATTAGCCGCGATTGGGATGTTCCAGTAGGAAACACCGGTCCATCACTGGGTGCTTTGCGCCTCCCCAGATTCCTCTTCTGCGCAACGCCGTGATGAGCGGCAGTGTAGGCGTTAGCGTCCGCTGCTTCGCATCTACACATGATTGACTTTAGCAGGAGATGCTGTAATTTTTAAAATTTTTGTACATCTTACATTAACTGTCGAGACTGTCTATTCATCGACTATGGCACCTGGTACAACACTTGGCCATTATTTTTTATCTTTTGCATATCTTTCAGCCCTAAGTTTTCTAGGGCCCTTTTATCCCCTCCTCCCTTCTACTTGCAGGAAAGAAAATGGGCGAATGTACGCTGGCTGAAAATTCTGCTGTGAGTAAAGGGCTTTCTCTCGCTCTTTCTCTCTCTTTTCCCCTTGTTCGGAACATGCGCACAAGCAGAAGTTTACGGGCACTTTATAGGGATTTTAGGATCGTTTTTGCACTAACTCACTCATCTCACTCAATATTTTACAACTCTTTTTATATGGAAACTAACAGCCCAGAAGAGACCGCTTGACAAACCAAAACAACCATAAGCCGCACCAACTTGGCCAAACGCACGTTGTATATAAAAATTATGTCGCAGAGAAGAACAAAACGTAATCTGACGCAATCTAAAAGAAAGTACGATGAGACCGGCAGGACTCGGCACCTGAACCCGCAGCAGTTTCTCTGTAACCGATGTCTACAGTGATCACGAGTGACCGCTAGCGGGTCACACTGAGGTAGACGTGCACCCACCGTCGTGGAAGGCAGCCGGCAGCGCCATGCGGCACTTCTTGGCGTTCGCCTGCCACTCGAGCATGCAGGGCGGGTAGGTGCGCGCGTCCCGTCCCTGGGAGCGAAGCAGCTGCTGCTGGCAGTGGCCCGCGTAGCCGTCCTTGTCTCCGTGGTCGGACACGTACCTGCGCCACGAACGCGAAGGAAATCGGGTAAAGCTCAGTACGAGATTCCCGTCTCCTTCTTCGTTCCTTGTGTTCGTTATTTTATTGGCTCAAGTTTTTTTTTTCTTCGGATTCAAAGTCCTTCACCCCATCGCAGGGGTCTCGGACAGGCATCTCACGGACGTTTATTTGACATCCCAACCTGCGCGTGGCTATTGTCTCGTATTTCATTCCTTAATTTTTAAAACCCTGTCCCGATAGCGTTAGAAAAGGTGAACACTTTATCGAAATTGCCGCTTTTTTTGTTGTACTCAATTTGTAGAGCTTTTCTTTTTTTTTTACTGAATAAAACGGTGCAATTATTTCAATAATATGGGGTTTATTCATTTAACTGACTGCATAAAAAAGGGTTTCTGCTCCGTAGCTAAGTACCGGCAAGATACAGCTGTTATATAACTTCCTCTTGAGGAATAGTGGCAATATACCTGTCATCTACCTCGTACTTAGCTACGGAGCAGAAACCTGGAGACTTACAAAGAGGGTTCAGCTTAAATTGAGGACGACGCAGCGAGCAATGGAAAGAAAAATGGTAGGTGTAACCTTAAGAGACAAGAAGAGAGCAGAGTGGATTAGGGAACAAACGGGGGTCAAGGATATCATAGCTGAAATCAAAAAGAGGAAATGGACATGGGCCGGGCATGTAGCGCATAGACAGGATAACCGCTGGTCGTTAAGGGTAACTGACTGGATTCCCAGAGAAGGCAAGCGGGTTAGGGGGAGACAGAAGGTTAGGTGGGCAGATGAGATTAAGAAGTTTGCGGGTATAAATTGGCAGCAGCAAGCGCAGGACCGGGTTAACTGGCGGAACATGGGAGAGGCCTTTGTCCTGCAGTGGACGTAGTCAGGCTGCTGCTGATGATGATGGTGATAAAAACGGGACAGCTCAAGGATGGCATAACCGCGTGCCACTACAATAAAAGATGGCGATGCAAGGAAAGCTCGGGCAAAAGTGACGCCACGTGGACAAGTATGGTCACCCCGCGTGATGAGACGCAACTAAAAAAAAAAAGTACAGTCGCAATCGGTCATTATGGTGCCAAATTCGATAGCAACTACACTCACCAACGGGAAAGAAATGGTTAAAAGCTATGTTTATGAGCTAAATTGACGTTACATGTATCAAAAATTCTTTTTCGTGAGGTGCCCCATGCGGTCACTACGTGTTGAAACATAGCTGCTGAACGAGAAAGGATATACTACAACAAAGTTCATATTTTAGACATTATGGAGATCAGTATCGATACGTTTTCTCGAATTTCGACGTCGAACCTCCTTCGAAAAAGAACCACGTATCAGATACGAGAAAGGCCGTCCTTCTATAGGCAACAGTCGCTAACATTTTTACTCTCCGAAATTTTGTTTCGCACCCCCCCCCCCCTGATATCTGCGACTCGCTTAAGAAGAACAGTTGCTCACAGTTGTATTCTAATCAGAATAATGTGAATACCAAAGACGTACCTCTTTCCTTCGCATCTCTCTCACTTCCCACTCGCTAATGTAGTTTAGATAAACGGATGCTAAGCTCTGGTTGACCTTCCTGCGGCCCATCTGTCATTTTATTATCTTTCTCGCTCTATCTTCCTAATTCGGCGCGGTTCACAATCTATTACACGAGTACACCGATTCAAGATAAACGTGCCATTCGTGGTGACAGAGCTTACATAATATAGCACATATGTACGGTTTAAAGTGGAGATCTTCAGTGACGTCACGTGTACAGGCGGCTCTGCCATGTGCACTACGTCGTATACAGGCAAAACACAAGGCGTTTCCGTGCTTCGCTGAGATGAGGCACGCACGCTAACACGAGCGCCGAACGTGGAATGACGCTGGGCGCCGGATCTTTATCGCCCGCGCCGTCTCGCTTGCCGTCCTCAGCGCATTCGTATACAACACGCGGAGGAAGCCCTAGCGAGCCGTTGCACGTGGAGCCAACGTTGTGGCGTCGTTAGAGCGGCGTTGGAAACGGAGACGGGCTGAGCAAAATAACCTACAAAATGGTACCCTACAGAAACGTATACCGGATATCAGACGCTCTCATCATATAGGGACAAGCCGTTACATATTCTGTTCTGCGTACCTTCATCCTTGAGTGTTCCGTGTCAGAGTTCCGTCAGGAGTTCCCACTCCGACCTGAACTCCTGACGCTACTCGTAAGTGTTCGTTCATAGACTTATGGTCACAAAGGCAATACCCAATGTTTCTCGCCTCAGCACAAACCCAAACCACGGAGACGCTGGAGCGACCGTTAAGTTAGGACTTTCATAAAGTCTTCGAACTATACGTACCTACGCGTGTGAATGTGCACACGCATTATTTAGTAGAGATTTCAATATAAGTGCTTGCTTCTTTCACGTTAGGCACTTTAACGGGTCGTCCATGCGGTAAATGAACTTCCTGAGACTGTCCCCAAATGTCCAATAAGGAGTGCTAAGTTTTGCGTCCACAGCAACATCTGCACGTGATATAGCAATGAGTGATTATTTATTTGTCCCCTCAATTAAATTGTGGAAAACGCCAAGTCTGTCAGTATATACATGCAGGCTAGTCACAGCAAAATCTGGAGAAGCGGCTTTCCTTGAGCCAGTTTTAAAGTTTCTTTAGGCGCCTACTGCAAGTACAGCTTTGAGGTATACTTACTATATACCATTAATAAGGCTTCCCGAACGCGCGGCCCATGAACTCTTCACTAGTGGTGCGTGGAATCACCAGAACAAACTTTTGTGACTGTAATTCTAATTTATACCAGCATTATTTTCTCACCTATTGCGAATCGTAACGCTTTGTTCGGGGAAGCCACAAAGACCGGTAGGCCCTCGGGCATACATTTCCTGGAGCAATCCACGCGGTCATTGTGGGACGAAACATAACCGTTGAAACAAGCCTCCGCTGAATACTAACAATTCTAGTCAATCTGCAGATCGGTATAGATATTTTAGGGGCGAAGCTCCTTAGGGCGTGGGCTGTGCGTCCCCTGTAGCCGGTATGTAGCCACCTCTCGTTTAGTTCTTGCAGTGTTCACTAGATGGCGGTACCGTCTCCTGTATGTCACCTCTTCTCGTTTAGTTCTTGCAGTGTTCACTAGATGGCGGCTCCGTCTCCTGCATGTAGCCACCTCTCGTTTAGTTCTTTCAGTGCTCACTAGATGGCGGGACTTGTAGCTGATGATGAAAAGATGCAAGATGTTATAAACTAGACGGCGGTACTTGTAGTTGATGATGAAAGATGCGAGATGTTATAAAATAGGAATGATGTCACATATGGCACGTGTCATTGGTGGAAGGCAATCGTTCGATTTAGTGCGGCGACGTACGCTAGGGGGAGCATTGTAATAAAACCGAGTAGGCAAAATGTACGGAAGATTCATGGTTTACCAGGTTTTCCTCCAGAGCTTCGCCCACTCATCATCATTCACTTCGTGGATATGGCGGCACTTTTTCTATACCAGCGGTTACGACTCGTATATGAGGTATGGAAAAGACGTTTCTATGAAATGAGAAAGTTAAGCGACCGACTTTGTTTTGTGACTTGAGTCTCGCGTATGATGACTCTTGGATGACTATATAGTGCTACGTGAAGTTACGTCACGCTCACCTCCCCTTCTTTTTTCCTCCTTGAGTTCTCCCCATTTGGCGCTTGCTCCTTCTTTCTATCTCTCTCTATATATTTATGTATTTCTCTTTCTTTATCGCTCTTTCTTTCTCTTCCTGTCTTCATCTCTGCATTTCTTCTCTCTCTCTCTTACTTTTTATTTGTGAATGCGCGCTGGGCGTACCTATTCGGAGGAGGAAGCACAAAGTGAAGAAGAGGACGAGATAGCGCGATGGCACGATGATGGCCCTTATTTACGGACCCTATAAACGAAGCATAAATAGCTCCGCTGCTATATCAAAATGTCGCAGACAAATGATGTAAAAGATGGAATACAATACAGAATCCACGTTGCTTATAAATGCTTTCCAAGCTGGTCACGCGTTTAAGTACTCTCCTGCACAGGACGCCTGAAGTGACGACTCGGTGGTCCGAGTTCGTGACCTTCGACGCAAAAAAATTTTGTCTGTCTGTCCATTTGTCTGTTTGTCCACCCTTAACGATACCGGGTACTCTAAACGGCACCAGCCAATACCCCAAACGGCCGACCCGATTCACAGCGCCCCCCAATGTTGCTCAAGGTTCAGCGTTCATACTTGTGCGATTGTGAATAAAAAAAGCAATTATTGCGCATATCCGAGGCACCATAACAACACGTATATATTTTGTAAGTGCGTGTTTTACTTATAAAGGCATACATAAGTAATTCTAAGGACCGTGGCGTTTATCACGCTGCGCTGACCAAGCAACGCTTGCTAGAAAAGGCAAGTGTTTCCAACGCTTTGCTAAGACGGTGGTGGCACCTACCCGTCGCTTTGCGTTCTACACCTTATCACCTCTGAGGCGGGCGTGCACACCCGTCTCAGAGCCACAAGCTTCGTTTTCCAAGAAATTAACTGCCAGATAGCGCTCATGTCTCACGTGTGACGTGACTCGATGCGCTCGTTTGCTCCGCTGCACGCTCGAGGCACTCTAAACCCAGCGCCTCCAGAATACCATTCACCAGTTTTCTTTCGCAGAACATCAAATAAACGATTTGTATGCTCTCTCCAGACGCCAGACAATCGTCTTTCGACGACATTTGCAGAGTAACATGCAGATACGGGGCCGATTTTTTTTTCTTCTCGCGACTCACTTGAGCAGGTACTTGTAGAGCAGCGGCGACGGCGCGAAGCACCCGAGGCAGTTGGCCATCAGGAGCCACCCCCTCTGGCGGTTCGCCTCGTTGTCGTTCTGCCACGTCTGGTTGGACAGCTGGCACAGCAGCTCGTCCCGCATGGGCCTCTCCTGGAGCGCGCGCTGCACCACGTAGTCGCCCAGCACGCGTTCTCGCCGCCCGCTCAGGTGGCCGTCGTTCATGAAGCGCAGGATCTGCGTTCGTCGTCGTCGGTGCGACAATGAGCGCCGTCAACGGTTCGTTCTTGATATGGCTGAAAAGCTTACATAATTTACATATGTCTTTGAAGGGAAATTTCGTCCATAGTCGTACATAACTTCAGCCTTACGGAAAGGTCTTCTCCGGATGACCGAAGCCTGGCAGCCCGTCGCCTCCGCAATAAAAACAACATCCCACTCATGCACTATGACTCATGCCCTTCGAAGGCGTCGTTACAAGACGTCGTACTCATGACCTCAGCCTCAAGTGCACGCTCATTGGTGCAGGCCTGTGTGACTTTGAGAAGGAGATGCCGCGGACTTTTAAAAGTTGTATCTGGCTATACTAATCATCTTACTAAGCAATAGCTACGCTACTCAACCACCGGTAGAGACACCAATAGACGAGGAAAGTATCGGCCAATGGCACGGCGTCATGTACTGACCAACTTGAACAGTGCCAGCGACTCCTGGTGCTGCGCGTCCGAGCTCTTGGCCAGGAAGGGCGTCCGTATGGGCTCCCTCTTCATGCCCCACACGTGCGACTTGAAGTAGATGCTGGTGAACTTGCTGAAAGCGTGCTGGTCCACGTCGGCGGGCAGCTGCCGAGGCACCAGTGTCAGCGGAGGCGCCACGCCGCCCGCAGAGGAACCGGAACTGGAGGACGACGGCGCCCTGGCCACGGCGCCCGCATATCCGGGCCAGTCGTCCAGCTTGCTCAGGATGAAGGCAAGCTCGGCCGGAATCTCGAGGTGGTTGACGCCGGCCACGGCCCGGGACGCCCGCTCGTCCCGCGCCATGCGTTCCTTGGCTCGCTCCAGGGCCAGACGGTCGGCCTCCCGCTTGCGGGCCAGGATGGCTTTTATCTGCGAGGGATGGCACACAGCAACGCCTATCTTCATTCACTCTGAAAACCGTTACTTGAGACTTGTCCCTTGCTATAACGAACACTGATATAGCGAATAATTGGTTATATAGCAAAGCAACAGCAGACGTGTGGGATCGCGGGCAAGTTGGTATACCATACCTGGATATCCTCAGCGCCAGAAATATATACACAGAACCTCGTGAACGACGAAGCAGATATTTTTGTAGTTAGCTGTGTATTGATGTTGCATTTCTGCATTACTTGGTGTTTTACGTTCTAGCCTAAGCATACGGTGATTATGTTTTGCGCAGGAAATATAATTAATGCGAAGCACTTCTTTGCGTACTGCAAGTACTTGGAGCACTGAATCTATCTATCTATCTATCTATCTATCTATCTATCTATCTATCTATCTATCTATCTATCTATCTATCTATCTATCTATCTATCTATCTATCTATCTATCTATCTATCTGTCTGTCTGTCTGTCTGTCTGTCTGTCTGTCTGTCTGTCTGTCTGTCTGTCTGTCTGTCTATCTATCTATCTATCTATCTTTATCTGTCTGGTCTGTCTGTCTATCTATCTATCTATCTATCTATCTATCTATCTATCTATCTATCTATCTATCTATCTATCTATCTATCTATCTATCTATCTATCTTCTATCTATCTATCTGTCTGTCTGTCGGTCTTTGTCTATCTATCTATCTATCTATCTATCTATCTATCTATCTATCTATCTATCTATCTATCTATCTGTCTGTCTGTCTGTCTGTCTGTCTGTCTGTCTGTCTGTCTGTCTGTATGTATGTATGTATGTATGTATGTATGTATGTATGTATGTAGGTATGTATGTATGTATGTATGTATGTATGTATGTATGTATGTATGTATGTATGTATGTATGTATGTATGTATGTATGTATGTATGTATGTATGTATGTATTTTAGCCACCTACGACTGGGTGCTATCGTGATCACCCCCTCAACTTGGGGTAAACCGAAATTAGCATGGGAGGGTAAGACGGTTTGACGAATATGACTTACTGGTCGTGACATGAATAATGTCACAATCCCGTCGCGTGCGCGGTCAAACCGTTTCCGTTAGACGTGTGGCATGTAGCCGCGGGCGGGTATGTGCTACAGCTGATTGGACAGAGGGACGGACGGACGGATGGACGGATGGACGAACGGACGGACGGACGGGTGGGTGGACGGATGGATGGATGGATGGATGGATGGATGGATGGATGGATGGATGGATGGATGGATGGATGGATGGATGGATGGATGGATGGACTTTATTTGGTACTTCAGAACGTGCTTTAGCATGTTGCGGGTTGTTCACACGTCGGCACAGAAATACCAAGTCTCTCTGCTGCGTCATGGGCCCGTTGGACTGCCCATAACTGTTGTTCGAGTCCGGAGCTTGTAATAGCACCCCCCCCCCCCTTTAGACGGCGTGATGACTTCCCCATCGAACGAACTACATGTGATTGACATTTTATATGTACCCAAGAAGGGCGGGAACAGACGTGGGTAATTTCAACGCGCGAGCGTTAAGAAAAAGTTGACTTCGGCAGCGTTGTCCCAACGAATGCAAATAATAAATGTAAGGGTCTTAGTAGGAGTCAAACCCCAGAATTCTGCGCGGCAACCAAGCATTCTAATATTACTTAGCAAAACAAACTGTTTGGCGAGTTGGTAAATCATCATGAGGGACATAATGCCCCATAATGCCTCAAAGCCGAGGATAACTGTGTTGCCCTCTGTAGCGTTACACAGAACAAAGATTGGGTATCTTGATGCTCACATGTAGTTCCTAATTGCTGTTAAATCTTGCACACTTGGTTTTATTGCTTCTAATATTTTGACCTTTAAAAAAAAACTTTTTTTAGTAGTACGCGCTTGCGTTAGTTTATTCCTCCATCTACGTTTTTTTTTTTTTTTTCGTGCAGTTTCTCTCATAGCGCCGTTTCTGAAGCCCTACTGCTCGAATCAACAGCGACCCCACGCCCAGATTGGTGAAAAATGTTAGCTTTTCAAGCAATTGCCGCGTGTCTGTAGCGATACATGTTTCGTTTGAAATAAGGTTCGTTGCCTCTTGCGAAAAGAGGTCGCTCCGTTTACTCTAGCGCAAAACATTTTCAATTGAAGAGTAGATATTCAGCGAAGGACATTCAGAAGAGTTTGCGCCACATTTGATTCTGAAATGAGACAGCACGCTGTTAGAGGCACCATTTCATTAACTCCAGTAGCACTGCTTCGACGACACTGTATATGTGCTTTTGCATTGAGGAAGCGGAGGGGACTGGCATGCCCTCAGAGGGCCTCTGCTACATCGCTTAAGAATTATGATGTTAACACATCTGAACGAATAGTTATTCATTCTGGAGGAGGAAGCCTTCCTCCTGCGGTGGTCAACACGATTCATTATTTTCAGAAAGAACAAAGTGTCCATGCCTTGCCTTCATTACTGAGAAGGTAGGCTAGTGTTTGTGATTTCACTGAACCTGCATTTAGTATTGTGTAAGTATTTAGTTATTCTTATACGCATTTTTTAATGTTTTTGTTTCTTTTCATGAGTCGTACGTAGCCCTGAGCATAGTTTTCTTTATGCACGTTCAAATTTTTGTTTACACGTACAAAAAATTCCTGTTGTACATTTGAACGCATATTAAGATATACTAGCAATGTCTTGAGAACGAACAATGTAACACATAAATGTCATCTGTGTATATTATCTTTTCAGAAATAAAATTCTCTTGAACAAGGGACGGCTTTCAGCTCTCCCATAGTAGAGTACCGAGTACTCTAAATCATTAACGACTCCTTCTAAACACGTCGGTGCAATGGTTTTCTTTTGCCGGGACGGCTGCACTGCTGTTCCATGGTTGAATACGCGAAGTACTCAAAATCGTCAAACTGTGACTTTCTCTAAACCACACGCTTATAACAGCTCTGCGGAGCTCGCACTTTAGTGATCTACAAACGGGGATCGATTATGTATACACAACGGATTTAACGATACACCTGAAGCTATTCAGAAGAAAGCCCGTGCTTCTAATGTGCTCGAAGCATATTCTCGAAGCGCTTGATTACATTGTAGTAGCAAATGCTAGGGCCAAAAAGGCGCTACGGTGTATCTTTTGCTGCCCTTGTGTCGAGTCCACGCTATTACTCCTATAGCAGTCGAGCGCTGCGTGAAAACGCCTACGACACCTACTTGAAATAAGCACACTATGGCATCGCAATGCGAACTCCGTGGCGATATAAAAGTAACTTTTCTTGCTCTAATTTCGATGCTGACGCTACGTCAGACCACTGCCCTTCCAAGTCAGTGTACTGACCGTGCGTTGTAAGCCCTGACGTGTGCACAATTACTCAGTTTGCACTAGAATGTTCGTCCGCCTTGTAACGATTGGCTACTCACGCTTGGCTGCTCAACAGGGCGCTACTTCACTGACTGCGCATTCAGCATCGCCCCGCCGTGGTGGTCTAGTGGCTAAGGTACTCGGCTGCTGACCCGCAGGTCGCGGGTTAGAATCCCGGCTGCGGCGGCTGCATTTTCGATGGAGGCGGAAATGCTGTAGGCCCGTGTGCTCAGATTTGGGTGCACGTTAAAGAACCCCAGGTGGTCAAATTTTCCGGAGCCCTCCACTACGGCGTCTCTCATAATCATATGGTGGCTTTGGGACGTTAAACCCCCCGAATCAATCAATCAATCGCATTCAGCATCGCATCAAATTGATTCTCGCGATGCCCGGAATCTGTTGGATTGTAACAGCGAGGTTGTTCTTAGTACTAGTTAAGGGAAAGTCGGCAGCACTAAACGTGAACAGAAGAAACAGAGACAGGTAAAGTAAGGATGACATCCTTCTTGTTCCCGTCTCGGTTTTCTCGCTTCGCCTTGTTCTGCTTTCTTTTGGGGAAGCTGGAATTCCCTTACCAAGGATGTACACACCGACTTGCGCAACAACTAAGGTTGCACGGCGGGCTTGCTGGTGGTTCCATAGCATCCGATGTGTAGCGCATCTATATAGGACAGCGAAAGCCACAAAACACACAAACGCGGGCGCTATAACTTTCGAAAATTGTTGAAAATTAGCGCAGTGTCTGTGTGTGCGCGCGCGTGTGTGCGTTATGTGTTTATATGTATTACACACACACACACACACACACACACACACACACACACACACACACACACACACAAACACACACACACACACACAGTGCTAACCTTCAACAACTGTTTATTTATTTTTATTTAGTTATTTATTTTATTTGGGCATTCTTTACAAAAATGCCCACGAAGGGAGCAAAAGGAAAGAGCACCTCCTTACTTGGCCCACTCTTCGTGAGGCACCTCGGGCAAGTACAGCAAAGCAGTACATAGAAAATTCACGATTACACATACAAATTATAAAAAAAACGATGATCATTACAACAAGCGCAGAAAATATCGCTTAAAGATTCAAACAAAGCTGTTCCTTAGCGATAAATACAAATACGTTATCAGCACTATTAACATATGTTGAAATACATACAATGAAAGTTAGCGCCGTGTGTGTTTTGTGTCTCTTGTTCCGTCCCGTCCTATGGGTGCGCTATGCATAGGACGCACGAGAAGCCTCTTCAGTGAATAGTTTTTAGTCGAGGCCTTCCCGTCCGTTGGCGTAGCGCTGCTTACGGGGTCTTGCTGCTAGGCGAGAATGGGATTCGGTAGGAGAGAAAAGGCCGCGCAACATCAAGATGGGCGAGAGTCTAGGTGAAAAGGCTGAATCAAGGAGAGGCGAGGTTCAGTCTGATGAAAGAGGGAGGGGGGGGGGGGGGGGGCTTCAGCTGCGTTCTTTCGACACTATTGGCGAACTGGTGCTGGACAAGCTTTCTCTTGTTACTGAACAATCGATACAGCAGGCTTTATCAGGCATAAATGTGGTTTACTGTTGTTCTTTGAACAGAAATATAGGATTAACTTGAGTTGTAATAGTGCAGGCGCCCGTATCAAACCCATAAGGCGAGAACTTTGGGTATAAAAGCTTGACAAGTTGAGATGAACTACGACTCATCATCATAGTCAGGCTGATGATGATGACGATGACGATGACGACGACGACGGCGATGATGATGACTACGACTCGAATGTGGTAAACGTGTGAAAGCTGTTGACGCGATGATTTTCGCTACGCCAACGTGATACACCGGGGCTCACCTTGTCGTACTCCCTCTTCTGCCGAAGCATCCTGTAGTTTGCCTGAGCCCGGATGACGCCTCGCCGAATCGTTCGGTAGCGGCTCCTGCAAAGAACGAACGTCCACGCCCCGCGTTTAAACAAGGATCGACTATTCCTTCGGTAACTACCGGGCCCGTGGTCAGACGAACTACTAACGCAGCTGTCAAGATGACAACGCAGATATGACCAGGATCAGGGCTTGGACCCAAGTGGCCGTAGCTCTTGGACACTACAAGACAAGTGCGTATACGGTCACTCTCTCGTTTTTTTTTATTACTTCGTGTCTTTACACGTTAGTTCATCTGGCTGGGCTAGTTGGCCCCGATTGAATTAGTGCCATATGAACGGCGAACACGCACAAGGTCACAGAAAAAGACGCAGTTGCCTGACGATTGTCTTGTTATTTTTGTTATGCTTGTGCGTTTTCGCTGGTGTGGCATGGAATGATTCGTCTGTGTACACCTCAAACTCCCCTATCCCTTTGCCCAATACAAAATGGCATACCAGTTATTCTGAACTTGCTTTCCTCTTCCTCAATTATATTTTCTTCTCCATTCGATATCAACTGTATTTACTTATTTACTTATTTTTTATTTAGGCATATCTCACAGGCCCCCCCAAGAAACAAAGGTTGAGGTAGCCCGGGGGGATGGCATATGGTAGAATTTCAGTACATGATATATTAACAAATTTCATAATTTATAAAAAATTTAGACCTCCTTTATTTCAAGAATCAATACCAATCAGATAAGGATAAAGATGTCTGTAAACAGAACGGGAAACCTGCAGATAATGCGTCACCTTGACAAACAAAGTGTCAAGTATAGAGCAACCGCTGCAAGGAGATGTCATTCTCGAATGTATGCTTGTTATTTGTTTGTTCTTTAATAAAAAAAAAAAACCGGACATGGCCGAGTGTCTGGTGATCGCGCAAAGCCGGAACACCCACCCACGTCAGGTGAAGCCGACTGCGTAGCGATTCGTGACTGGCTATACCGCACTCACCCGCACAATAGCAGTACTATTAGCTATGGTATACTGATTGACAGTAATGTTTACTGTCGCGGTAGTAGAGGCAATCAGACGTATTTCAAGGTGACGCTCCTCACGCACTTTGTCTGGCACTTCGACGATATCAATGCTTCACACGACTCTCTCCCTTTCTTTTCTCTTTCCCCTCTCTCTCATCTTTATGTCCCATTCCCCCAGCGTAGGGTAGCAAACCGGGCATGTGCCTGGTTAACCTCCCTGCCTTCTCTCTTGTTGTTCATTCACACCCTACCCCACACACGACTCGCGACGCACTATACATATACGCTATGGATGCATTCCACGTACCTTGCGGCGTATCCACGATACGCGGCTTGTATCCGTAGCGCGGCGGAGCGCATGGCCGTGTATTGCCTTCGGGCCAGGTATCCGCGCACGTGCCGCTGGATGACGACGATGGAGGCGCGCAAAAGCGCCACGCGCTCCTGCTCCAAGTACTGCTCCAGGGCCTCGCGCACGAACACCTGTGCACGCGTCAAAGACAAACCAAAGCACATCCTCAGCCAATCATCCGCGTCAAACACGAGCCAAAGCACATCCTCAGCCAATCATCTGCGTCAAACACGAGCCAAAGCACAACCTCAGCCAATCATCCAGATAAACTTCGTCAGACCAGCCGAAATGCTAGTGATACAGCACCTTTCGAAGTAATTTGCTTATTACCAATCGCACCAGGCTCTTGAGGTTGCATGAATTTACAATTGCCAAGAGCTACCTCGTCATACATCTGCCAAGGATGACAAGCCGGCTTTGACGAGGAGTTAGGTCAACCAATCGATGCATCACCAAGCTTCTCTAAGGACGTCGTTCGTGTTAATGCAACATAATAAAATGTGTTTCCATCTCTCGACTGCCGTCTTAACTTTCACTATATAGTCCCGATGCTCAAAAAATACTGGCTTGACCAAATGAATCCCTTATAAGTATGGATATTGAGATATTTATACTATTACAGCAAAACGTTAATCAACAGCGCAGTATGGCTAGCGCTGCAAGAATAATACGCCAAACATTGAACATGCATCTAGAAAACCACGCCCACACCGATTATGATGCGAACAGTGAGAAAACAAATTGACATTTGCGATGTCAACAATGTTGTCACGCAGAGGAGTTGACAAAGACCTATACAGTAAGTTTTGACAGCGTGTGAAATAAGTTTAAGAACAGACGCGAAGCGCTTGTGCAGAATGTTATACTTTTTATTTCATTATTTTCGGTAATCCTACACGCATGCCCCTACACCTCGTGCCACTCCATCGAACACAACAGTGGGTCTTCACAAATACACTCATCCCAAAGACCAATATCTATGCTCTACCATAACTGTAACTATACTCGGACTAAGAGTCGTTACTAATGTTTAAAAACTCGTATCTGTCTCGCATGAGAGATGCACACGCTTACTAGAGACGCAAACAAGTCGTACACATGCTCACACTCTTGTAACTAACTTCACTCGTACTAATTTTTTCATGTACTCTTCTTACCATGGCTCAATGGAACGAGTTACCTCTGTAAAACCTTTGTGACAATGATCACTTCGACAAGTCGACCTGTCGACAACCCCCCCCCCCAAGCCGAGGTTACCATAAATACGTGCCTTTCTCTCCATGTCCATACAAGATAAGCTATTGCGACTGTCATATCACATATATTTCCCTGGTGATGCTTTGCATAATATTACTCCAAGCTCACTATTTATTTGTTTCTGTGTGTTTTAATGTTTGACTTCGTTTTTTATTGCTTTCATTTCTTAACTGAATTTATTTTACGAATGAGTTTTTCTTATGCCTCCCAGCTGTTCGGTCTTTCGACCGCAATATGCTGTGCGTATTTACGTTACTGATATTCAATGGCGTCACACTGGAGCCCCTACCCTCGATGAATGCACGCCGGTGTAAGAATGCATGAGCCATCGCGAAACGTGTCTCCAAAGGGCGTCCTTACCTTCGTAGTGCCCAGCTGAAAGGCGTCCGAGAGCGCGGAAGGCACCTGGTCCAGCACTGCCCGACACACGTCTTTGGCCGACGCGCCGCGACCCAAGCGGTTCGGAGGCACGAGACATCGATACCTGCGCAGATTGACGAGAAGGAGAAAGTGGTACCGTACTCTTACCAAAAGGGCTGACGTCACAGCAGTATGACGATGCACTCGTACAAAAAAATTGCGCATGCCTTCCATACCAATTTTCTATCTATCTATCTATCTATCTATCTATCTATCTATCTATCTATCTATCTATCTATCTATCTATCTATCTATCTATCTATCTATCTATCTATCTATCTATCTATCTATCTATCTATCTGTCTGTCTGTCTGTCTATCTGTCTGTCTGTCTGTCTGTCTGTCTGTCTGTCTGTCTGTCTGTCTGTCTGTCTATCTCTCCGTCCGTCCGTCCGTCCGTCCGTCCGTCCATCTGTCTGTCTGAGGCACGCATGAGATCTATCTATCTATCTATCTATCTATCTATCTATCTATCTATCTATCTATCTATCTATCTATCTATCTATCTATCTATCTATCTATCTATCTATCTATCTATCCATCTATCTATCCATCTATCTATCTATCTTTCTATCTATCTATCTATCTATCTCATTGCGAAATTCTGCCTCGCGGACTTTTTGATCCCCACGCCCGGACCTTCCAGCACGCCCCACCGCGGTGGTCTAGTGGAAGGTACTCGGCTGCTGACCCGCAGGCCGCGGGATCTAATCCCGGCTGCAGCGGCTGCATTTCCGATGGAGGCGGAAATGTTGTAGGCCCGTGTGCTCAGATTTGGGCGCACGTTAAAGAACCCCAGGTGGTCGAAATTCCCGGAGCCTTCTACTACGGCGTCTCTCACAATCACATGGAGGTTTTGGGACGTTAAACCCCACATATCAATCAAATCAAGTACCTTCCAGCACGAGCGTAGTGCACCGCAGTGGTTTAGCGGTGCTCAGCTGCTGACCCAAAGGTATCGGGTTCGATCCCGGCAGCGGCGGTCACATTACGGTGGAGGCAATATGCTAGAGGCCCATGTGCCATGCGATGTCAGCGCCCGTTAAAGAACACCGGACGACCAAAATCCCTACAGCTCTCCACTACGGCGTCTCTCGTAATCGTATCTTCGTTTTGAGACGTGAAACCCCATATTTTATTATTAGCCACGAGCTTAGCAGGGCAACCCTTCGGTTGCTGCAAGCAACGGCGACCAATCGCGCTTTCATTTTGCAGGCAACAGTGATGTGTGGCGACGTCAAATGACAGGTAACCTGGATAGCGTATCGGACTGCCATAACAGAAAAAAGCTGATCGCCGACAACTCCAGAGAAGGCATCAGTTGTTGGGTAAATGGCACGCATGCAACGACGTAACTTCGATGCCCGCACTCCTGTACGCTCGCCGGCGCCGTTTTCATCTCTTTTTTTTTTCACGTACGATGCCACCACCGAAATCTCTGGGTTACGAAAGCTTCTCTTAAAAGTACTTTACCTTACCCCTACTTCACGACGTATCCGTAAGAGAGGGGAGACGTACGATGTTCTTTCTGCACGTGTGAAACAGAAGAGCGTATTAGAACAACAGAACGTCAGTATATAGCAGCGATGCCATCGAGATCCTATCATCGTTAGTGTCCCTATCGAGAAGAATGAATTTGTCACCACACTATTATTGGTAGCGTCACTATCGAGGACGTTGAAGTCACCATCACACTATGACTGGTAGTGTCACTATCGAGAACTTAGAAGTCGCCATCACACTATCACTGCTTGCGTCATCATCGAGAACTTTTTTAAGTTGCCATCGCACTATCATTGGTAGTGTCACTATCGAGAACATTGATGTTGCCACTGGACTATCATCTGTAGTGTCAGTATCAATAACTTTGAACTTGCCACCGCACCATGACGTAGTGCAACTATAGAGAACATTGAAGCTGCCATCGATTTCATGGAGACAAGTTTCTAGCGCCTTAGCAGACTGTCAATATAATTATAACGAGGGCTGTGAAGGAACAACTTTCAGACACTGCAACTGCCGCAGCGACATGCAGTTAGAAGACTTCAGCTTTTCTATCGCACCAGCTGTAGTTCTGTCATTTTGCGATGCCAACAGCGAGAATGTAGTGCCAAAACTAAGGTGGTAGCGGTAAACTGGCAGTGTCAGAGTCAAAAAGAGCTGATAACTACCCAATTTGCCGCGACTTTGTCATACTGGCATCGCTAACGTCAATCATCATCAGCCTGACTACGCCTACTGCTGGACAAATGTATCTCCCATGATCCGCCAGTCAACTCGGTCCTGCGCTCACTGCTGCCACTTTATACCCGTAAACTTTCCTGTCTCATCTGCCCACCTAACTTTCTGCCTCCCATTCACCCACTTGCCTTCTCAGTGAATCCAGTCAGTTACCCTTACCCCCGTATTCACAAACGTTCCTCGACTCGATTTCCACCCTTCACTTGACAGAGTTGAGCACTGCCCCACCACTCGGCTGAAGATGACGCTGCGCTGCTCAAGAATCGCAGCAAATTATCGCTGATGCGCAGTGACTCTCCGTGCCTAGAGACGGCGCTGCCATCAACTTTCTCAAGTGAAGGTGAAAAGTTGAGTGAAGAGACGTTCTAGAATAAGGGGGGTTAATGACCGGTGAATATCTTGTCTTTGCACTACGTGTCCTGCCCATGACCATTTCTTTCTCCTCCTCCTTGACCATGATGTCCTTAACACCCGTTTGTTTCCTGGTACACTCTGCTTTCTTCTTGTCTCTTAGATTAAACCTATACCATTTCCCTTTCCATTGCTCGCTGAGTCCTCCTCAATTTAAGTTGAAGCTTCTTTGTAATCCTCCAGGTTTCTGCTCCACAGGTAAGTACCGGTAGGATGCAGCTGTTATGTACCTTCCTCTTGAGGGGTAGTGGCAGTCTACCCTATGACAATATGGCATTTTTATTGCTGGGTTGACGGAGGTAGTGTCACACTGAAGTCGTCACTACCATGATCGTCGATTCATCATTGCCGCAACGGCGGTGGTAAAGGGAACTTTGCACCGCGTTATAGCGAAACCCCCATCGCTGGTGCACAACCGATCACAATAGCACTGCTATGTGTACGTGCCAATTGTATTGCCGGACTGGAAGCGTGAGTACCCTACTGGTATCGTGACATAAGCTCTCAACGCCATTTGTCAACGCTCTTAGATGGGATAGTTAGTTATGCATGTCGACGGTGGCGGTGCGCTTTGGATACACAGACAGGGAAGCGACAGGACACACACACACGCACCCTGTGTCACGTGATTCAGCGTATATATGAGGCGCTTTCCTCCTTCTAGCAAACAAGTTAAAGTTGCGCTGCGCGTGTCGTCTCTCTTCTATGTCCGCGTATTCGATGCGCACGCACATCGTCGCCATCTGCCGCACCGGTAGTAGTGATTCCGAATTGACGATGTCAATGCCTGGCTGACAGTGGTAATTCAACTGGCATTGTCGGTGCCTGGCCACTAATGCAATACAGTTCATTTTACTTTTAAGGGACAAGCTCCTTAAAGCGTGGGTCTGTCCATCCTCCGTCGTTGTCGCACGTAGCCACCGGGATGCGAGATTGGAGATGGCGGTACTTGGAGTGTTCACTAGATTGATGCACGGACGGACAGACCGACTAGCATACGGACGGACGGACGGATGGGCCAACGCGGGGAGCGGGTATGTGCCACAGGGATTGCGAGATGGCGGTACCTGGAGTGCCCACTAGATGGACGCACGGACAGATGGACGGACGCACGAACAGACGTACGGACGCATGGATGGACGCACGGATGGTCGCGCAGACAGACGGAAGCACGGACGGGCTGACGGACGCTCCGCCCCACTCATCATCATTCACTCCGTGGATATGTTGTGATTTTTTTTACTCGACTTAATGCTTAACAGTAAATGAACAGTAACCAGGGTTCCTGGTACAATACGATTCTTCTAAATACTCAAGGGGCCTTTTATAATTGGCTGGTGCATATTTAGAACTGACGCCCGCCGCTTGGAAACAGGAAGCTGGTCAGGTTTGGTAAGTAGACACAAACTGCCCGAAGATTAAGATCGCCGTGGCGTCTTTGCCATACATTACCAGTTCTTCCTTTACCGTCGTTTGAAAGCGCTTGACAAACGGTCGTCAACAATGACAGCATAAGCAAGAATCATAACAGCGGCGGGACGTCGCGTATACGGTGGCGTGAGAGTCCTTCCCACGCGAGGGAGCATCATGGCGAAGAAGAGGGTAGCGGTCACTCACACACGAAAGTAAGAAAAGGTGGGTGGTACGAGTTTGTGGGAATCCTGGTACGATATAATTGCATCTCGGTGAAAGGAAACTCGACGATTAGAGAGAGAGGCCCTAGCGAGGAGGATATAATAGACGAGGAGGAGGAGGAAACGGAAGAAACGCATGGAGACCGGACGGAAGAAAGCGAGAGCATTAAAAAAAGATAAAATTCCAGAAAAGGGAAAGCAGAAAGAACTCTCCAATCAGCCAGGTTGCCGGTAAGGTGCTTTTCTTGGGTACGAGCAGCTGAATGTTCAACCGGCGTCCGGTAAGAAAGGCATCGCCCGGAAGTGACGCTAAGCAGGAGAGGACAGGATGTTTTTGGCGAAATTAAAACGAGTCTCCAAGGGGGTCAGCGACGATTGTGTGTACTACGCGAGCGCAGAATGTTTAACCTCCATATGTAGGACAACGGTGAATGCACCCGGTTAGACGGTCTCTTTAGGTCACCAGTCGCAGCACAGAAGCTTCGAGATTATGCCCCCTTTAATCACCTTTAGATTATGCCCTTTTAGGCAGCAGACTTGTTGATGCCTTGATGCAAAAACAACACCGACAATGACTACGATTTTTTTCTTCTGTGCTAAGAAGGTCATGGTACTAGGAGGTTGTTTACTGGCATGCATTGTCTCTGGCGCTTGATATGCACACCCGAATAAGGAAGAGTAATAAAGTGGAGAACAAGCCAAAAAAGAAAAGGCCTTTTAGTCGACGGAAAGAACGATTTACTAAGGCGAGCATTATTAGCTTTAGGAGTGAAACGACG